CCAAAGAGATAGAGTTAGTAATAAAACTTGCCTTACACCGACGTCTTCTTAAAATCCTCCGGCGAACTCTCTGCTTGCTCTCACTTTGCCTCCACAGAATAACTTACGTTTTGTTTTATTTTGTTTTAAACCCTAACCCACCGTATTATGCATATTTATAGGCTTTGACATTAAACCCTAATCCATGCATAACTATAGGTCTAGCTACAATTATAGTCGGCCCAACCAATTAATTTAAGTAATTAAAATAACACAAATATATAATAAAATTAAAACTATTTAATTAACCCAATTACACTTAAACCATTAATGCCAATTAAATAATTAAAACACTAACAAGTAATTCCAATTAAATAACTAAAAACAAATATCATTTAAATAATTTAAATCATCACAAAAGAAAACAATTAAGCACCTAATAAAAAAATAATGACACATAATCAAATAAAATGCACTTAAATAATAAATTAAATACCATTAAATACCAGGAATATCCTTTTTAAAATTAGGGGTATTACAAAAAGCCACTACTACCTCTAACTAAAAATATAACTATGGTGAGTAGGGATCGTCCCAAGGGATTGTGGGTGCACTAGCAATGGAAACAATATATATAGGTTAGTAGGTCGAGTGATCAAAAGTGGATTGTTTGGTTGATATGACTACAAACTAAACTAAACAAGTTCAATGTAAAATAAGCAATTTAAATGAAATTTAGAGAAAACAAGAGAGTAAGGTCTTGGAGTCTAGAGGTCACCACTAAACATCACCATTCTAGACATCCAATGTATAATTAATGAGGGGAAACATGTGTTGCAATTTGAGAGTGTGTGGTTGATTGTTTCAACAAGCATGGATGACCAATTAAGCATATATTGTCTAAGCAACCTAGTGAATAGCATAATACATCAAACTAAGCCATTAATCATTTCTTTAAACTCACAATCCAAACACATCACATGGTTAAAGAATAATACTATTTGCATTCATAAGCATGAAACATCAAACAATAAGTATGGATTGTCCTCCCATCTAACAACTAAGGCAACTACACTACAACTAAGCTAAGGAAATGAAAATTAAACTAAATAAACTAAGGAAGAGGCACAATTCATCAAGACATGAGTATGAACCATCAAATAAGCCACAATAGTATTCTATTAAGTACTATGCCTTGACAATCTCTAGATCCATAGCATCGACACACATAGACATGCATCAATAACACAAAAACTAGAGATAAACACATGAATATCTATTATAGCATACATAGACATATGGATAAAACGAAATGATCAATTGGAAGTATTAAACCACACAAATCATTGAATAAACAATATTCATAGATAAAATAAGTGTCAAGATAAGATTACAACACAAATCCCCTCAAAATACAAAGCATTAAAGTCTAGAAGGCATGCTTATGGCTAAATCTAGCTCCAAGAAGATGTTTAGCCACTCATTGAAGTAGTCATCCAACTCTCAAGGGTTATCTCCATGGTAGGAATGACCTCCTTCTTGATGGAAACTCTAGAAGAATAGAAGAACTCCCAAGAATGTATCTCTAGCCTCTCCTCTTCTCTTTTCGTCCTCTCTAAGAATGTTTCTAAGTATATCTCTTTGTATAGCTCTTTGTATATGTGTAAAAAGTAGCTCAAATCTTTATATAGGTATCTCAAGTGTCGCACCCAATGGTCTGAACTTGTGCACAAGGGTTCCTCTAATGATTGCACCATGAGACAACTTTTAATTAGCTGGAACTTTTTTTTTTTTCGAACTTGAGGAGGTTTGATCGATTGAACTGTGGTAAGATCCATCGAATGCTGCAGAGATCGATCGTCCTTGGCGGCGCCTTTTTGAATAAAGACAAATCTCTGAGATATTTTGGGATATTTTGGAAAATAGACAAAAGTGGTAGGTGTGGATAAAATTGAATATTTTCGATCGATCGAATAATGGTTGGATCAATCGAACATGGTGGAATCTTTTGGATAAGGACAAAAGCTTTAATTTATCTTGAAGTATCCAGATCGATGTTGCTCTGATCGATTGAAGAAATGTTGAGATCGATCGAACTTGCTGATTTCCACACTTTGTTTCATTTTGCTTCCACTTTGCTCCTTTCTTCCATCCAGCTTGAGTTAGCTTATTTAATACTCTTATTTGGCTGAATTAGCTTATTTTTTGGATAAGCACCTAAAAAGGGCAATAACATGAAATTAGTCTAAGACGGAAAAATAAAATAGATAAAGGTCCTAGAATACCTAAGCTTAAGGGGTTTAATTGCGCACTTTTCAGCGCTCATCACACGCGCCATTAGTGGTCATCATGCATTCATGCACCTTAATGTGTCAGATTTTCTCAACTTTGTCACCGCGTTGCCACGTGCTATTAATGGTCATTATGCGCTTCCTAGAGCACCATCAACGTAGTGAATTTTCACAAATTCATCACCCACACGCCACCATTTCTCCTCAATGTGCCTTAAGTGGTCTTCACGCTCCACTACAGCTTTTATGATCTTGTTTTAAAACTCAAGTTGGTTTCATACTCACCTTGAGTTAAAATCTCGTTTTAAAACTCAAGTTGGTTTCATACTCACCTTGAGTTAAAGGGGGTGTCAGATTATAAAAGTACCATACTATCCCTTACTTACAAATTAGGGTTTATACACCTACACCTACTCAGTTACCATGTATATATCTCCATCTACATAGTTACTATGTAGAGATGACTTGATAATCACCCACTTACCCAAAATCTTCTCATATATATATATATATATATATATATATATTTGATCTCATTTATATGTATATATATATATTTGATCGCTCTTGCCGCAACCTCCTTCACATTCTTACGTATCTGAACTTACCCCAAATCTTCTCACTTATATATACAGGACCTTCATTTATTCAATTCAGTATTAATACAATATATGTTTTCACATATTTCTAGCACGACCAATGTTTATTATTTTGATCTCTCTTGAGATTTGGCACAACAGGGGCTCAATCTAATTTGGGACCTTAGGCGAAAAATAAAAAAAGTGACTTTTTCAACAATATAAATAAAATTAGTTACAACTCAAAAACAAAACATACAAATATATATGCACAAAAATTTATAATAACAAAAGTTAAATAAAATTAAAAAATAATTAAAGAAAAAGAACCATTGAACCTGATTTTAAAAACCCAAATCTAATACTTCTACAAATTTTTTTAATAAAACAAACATGCGTTCATAACAATTCTAAACTTGTAATGAGAGTGGGAGGAGAAAACTTGTTGAAAAGAATAAAACATAATATATATATATATAACGTGAATGAGAGAGAGAGGGAGAGATTTTTGGGCCTAATATTAAATTTCTATATTGGTTAGGATTTATTGTAAAACGTGAATGGGAGTAGAAAAAGACGTGAATGAGAGAGAGAGAAAGATTTTTAGGCCTAATATTAAATTTCTATATTGGTTATGATATATTGTAAAACGTGAATAAGAGTAGAAAAAAAGAGGAAAAAAAAGTAATATAAAGATGTAAATCTTTGGGGGCCAATATTAAATTTATGTATCAATTAGAGTTTAATAAGGAAGTTATTTTAGGATATAAATATGTGAGGCCTAATATAAAATCTAAAAGAGTGGAAAGAGAAAAAAAATATTTTAGGATATAAATATTTGAGGCCTAATTTAAATTTTTTATATTTATTAGAGTTTAACAATATTAATAAATAATTATAGTATAACTTAATATAAGGAAATTTTAAAATTTTGGAGCCTTCTTATTGGCTGGGCCTTAGGCAATTGCCTAAAGCCCGAGCCAACCTGAATGTAACCTTAGGTTACGTTTGGCGTGCAGGAATAAAATGGAATGTAACTTGGAATGGAATGGAATGAGAATAAGAATGGAATGGAATGAGTATTACCATTCAATTGTTTGGTGTGACATGGTAAATCGTCATGGAATGGAATGATTATTACCATTCTATTGTTTGGTTGACTATTATTAAATTTGGAATGGAATGATTTTTTTCAAAAATGCCCTTTTCATTGGCTTATATTAGTTTTTAATTCTGACGATGAAATGGATTTTCATTCCCTAGAATGGATTTTCAAAAATGCCCTTTTCATTGACTTACATTACTTTTTAATTCTGACGATGAAATGGATTTTCATTCCCTGGAATGGATTTTCATTCCCTGAAATGGATTTTCAAAAATGCCCTTTTCATTGGCTCGAGATGATTATTAATTTTTATTTTATGTGATTATTAATTTTTATTTTATGTGATCATTGCTTCATACGTAAATATTAGAAGAGAAAAAGATGGAGAAATCACATAAACCTTTCAACACAAATATACAAAAAAATAAATTAAAATAAAAAAGAAATATACTCCGAAGATAAAGATTAATACATACTTATCAAAAAAAAAAAAGAAAAAAAGATAAAGAGATTAATACCTGTAATTTGGTTGAAGGTCCTGCAACTTTTTATCAATAACAGTTCTAAGTATATTCAGAAGAGAGGGAAGGCGAAAGAGTACACCTTTACCAAGTCTAATAAAGAATCTTGACAAATGTGAAAAATAGAATGTGAAAGATTTTGCTTTATTGGAATATGATGAATGGCTTATTGGGAATATTACAAAAAACTTTAATCTTACTATGGAATGGTCATTCCATTCCATAGGTTTCGTAATGGAATGAAAATCCATTCCATTGAAATGGTCATTCCTGCACACCAAGCAAATAAATGGTTAGAATGGACATTCCATTAGTGTTTTTTTTTTTCAGCAAACTTATTGAACAAATTTTATAAAATGATAAATTTACTATTTCCTTGTATAAAATACAGTATAATATAAGGGTACTATTTTATTAAATGATATAGCATGCGTAATTTGCTCAAATCTTAAGTTAGGTCAGTGTAATATATCCAAACTTTTAATAGCACTTATTTATACAATCTTTTGCCGTTTAAAAGTGTGTTTTTTTTTTTTGTATTTTTTAGCCCTTCTTTCGATAGATCTGTGTATGTCAATCAAGTCGGCTTCAAGAAGCTCGTAAAAGGGTTTGAAGTGCACTGATACAGATACTCCGACTATAATAGAGAATCGACAAATTCGACAGCACAAGTAGCCATGGCGCAAAATAGCGACAGGAAGAAACCAAACATTCTGGTGACGGGGACGCCGGGGACCGGGAAGACAACGATGTCATCTGCGCTGGCGGAGGCCACCCAGTTCCGCCACATAAACGTCGGTGAGCTTGTCAAAGACAAGAACTTGCACGACGGTTGGGACGACGAGTTCGAATGCCACATAATCAACGAAGACCTAGTCAGTAACAAATCTCTCTAATTCCAACCCTATCCCTCCCTTATTCTGAAGAATATGCGTAATTGATTTGCATCTCAATTGTTAATTTATCATTTCAATTGCAGCAGTTATATTATTAGGTCATATCTGTTCTGCACTCTCATGTGAGAGAGACTATTATATTATTTGTGTTTTTGTGTTAGTGCAGGCACTGGTTTAATTTGTTGGTTAGAGTTTGGAATTGGTAGTTGCTTTTTGTTCTCTGGGTGTCTATATATATAGCCCAACTTGAAAATAAGATTCTAGAAGGATTTGTCTACTCTTTTTCAGTCAATTATTGGTGCACTAAGCTTAAATTGATGAGTGATATTATTATTGAAAAATAAACTTTAAGGAATACAAAGATCTGAAAATTTATAAGGTGACAAATGTTGATAGGAGTATGCGTACTATGAAAATTCATCTATGTTTATGAGACAAACTTAGAGAAGCTATGGTAGATATCCAGTGCACCAGTGAGGAAGAGTGACGTGGTCACATTAAGCTAGGGAAGAAGGAGAAGGTTGAAACTAACATTGATTGAGGTAGTAAGAAAAGGAGTAATGCTATACGACCCGACTGCCAAAAAACCGATTACTACCTACTCCTACTTCGACAACCTTTCTTCTCCACTCTCCCCTGCGTCTACTCCTTTAAAATTGAGCTTCCATTAAAACAAACCAAAAATTACAATCACGTGGAGAACCATTTCAAAGCAAAATAACCAAAAGAAAAACAGATCAACCAAAAGAAAGAGCCCCAATGCACCATGGAACAGGTCTCCAAAACAATAAACCAACAAAAACAAGGAATTACCACAAACAAAAAAACGTACTTTTGTTCCTTTGCCTTTTGCTTTAAAGGTCCAAAGACTTCAAGAAAACAAATGTAAGAATTTTCAAAAAGAAAAAGGAAAAGAAAAGGAATCTCAGGTATGAATTTAAGTTTATGTAATATATTTTATGATTTTTTTAATAGATTTGTGTTGTTTGATATGTGAAACAAAATGGGTCTGCTCTTGTTTGCCATATTGTGATTTTTTGGCCCTAATTGCTTTCAGCCCTAGGTTTCTTAGTGAGAGATAAATGGGAATGGAGTGAGAGATTGAAATTAGGGCTACAAATCAATGCCAGAAAATTGGAGAATTGGAGATTGAGTATGAGAGTGAACCAAAGAGAGAACCAAGTAGGGGCGAGAGAGTTAGGGCTCCAAATCCTGTGTGAAAATTTGGGGATGGAGTGTGAGCAGCTGAAGGAGATAGAGCAGATCAAACGAGAGTGTTGAAGAGATGAGAAATTGGGAGTGGAGAGAGAGTTTGAGAGATTACGTGTTCAGTCGGTAAAAAATTGTCGTCATTTTGATAATTTTCCTAAGAAAAGATATCGTAGCCTGAAATTATGACATTAGATAGAGCCAAATGGCAATCAGGATTTATGTAGCTGATCCCAAATAGTTAGTAGATAAGTAAAACTTTGTTGAATAGGTCATGTTATAAACAACTTTGAAATAGATAGATGAAGTTAAGGGTGAACACATAAATTCGATTTACCAAAATCATAAAGCAGTGAGCAAGTTAACCAATAACCGATTCTGGGTAAAGGACTGAGGGATACGGCAGTAATTAATCAAACTTAAACGTCAGTGCTAAAGTTAACTTTCTCTTGAACTTTAACTTATCCAAAAAATAAAAAATAAAAAAAATAATTATCTTGAACTTTAATGTAGTGAAATTTCCATATGCTGATGCAAGTTTAAGCTAATGCCTCTAGTTATTGCAAGCCAAAAAGTGTCTTTATTGAAAGGAACAACAGGCTTCATGATGGCTCACTCACTCCTTCATCTCATTTGGCTAAAGAAGTGTCTTTGGAAGGTCTTACTTCTGTGGGGCTTTCTGTGGCTGATTTACACTCATGTGTTTGATAGTCTGCTATGCTTTTTTATGTTTTGCATTGGTGTGCTGCTTAGACAGGGGTATGGCTCTGTTTTAGCCTTTTTCTTTTTGGTTGTCATAACAACCTACTCCTGGGTACTTTATTACTTCATTTGTATCAATAATATTCAAATCATTCAGGGAAAAAAAAAAAGAAACAGAGAATTGTCTAGAGTAAAGTTTTGAAGCCCTCTTTATAAAATTTATTGTAATCAAAACCCAAACCAAACATAAAGTTTGCAGTTGTACAAGAGAGAAAAAAAGAGAGAACGTGCTAGAGTAGAATATCTAAACCCCTTCATAAAATTAGGCTTTGTCAAGAAAAAGAAAGAGGATTCTATTAACAAAGAGAATCAGTTATAAGAAACGGAAAAAACAAAGAAGTAGTGAGAGTTACGGTATTCTTGAGAAAAAAACTAGGGCTTTGTTGATAGTAAAAGAGAGAATCTGTAGAGAAGAAATGGGTGCGAGAGAGAATGACGCTTTTCAATTGCCACTGTTTGATCTTTTATAGTTCTGAATAACAAGTAATAAGCATAAAAAGATTAGGTAAATAAAATTTCTTGATAATTATTTTTTATTTTTAAAAAAATCTTATTTTATATGTTTTGACACCCATATTATTGAAAAATTTCAAAGAATTCCTCATATTTATACTTTAACCTGAAGCTCCTTTTGATCTGAGGCATGTGTCCACAGTGTGTCTACCATTTATTTCAAAAAAGGCAAAGATTCAGACACGAGTATCCGTGTGTCGTATGCAAGTTAGGTGTGTCTGTGGTCCTATGTTGGAAGCGTCTCTTAGGTTGAAACTGTTCATTTGCCTGACCTCAATCTTTGCATGTAATAGAATCACGCATGTGTTTGGTGATAACTTGAACCTATTTGTACTACAGCAAGAAAACTCTAGCTAAGACAATAGTTGGTTATAAAGTCACACAAACTATTGGGCGTTATAAAGTCGTACATTATTGGGTGAAGAACATGTTCTGCATTTCATAAATTTTTTCATCATTTGGGCAGTATAAACTGCTCATAGTTCATCCACAGTTCTGCATGAACTTTTGGTGATTGGCTTTATGAAAGCCTTAAGACATATATAAAAAAGAGATTTGTTCCCTTTCTTGTACAATTGTAGATTAGCTCTTGTCATGATCCTAATATTCGGCTGTTTGAGGAGATGACTGAAATCTTTGATTTGTTACTTGATCAAGAAACTTGAGCTAAGAAAACGGAGAGTTGGATAAGAAGTCACACAAGAAATCTGGGGAAGAAAATGTCTGTATTTTATAAATTTAAGTGCATTGTTTGAAAACTGTAAACTTCTCACATTTCATCCCTGATTTTGCACAATCTTTTGGATTCTCTCAACATGCACTCCAAAAAGAAGTAAATATCCAACCGTTTGAATATTTTCAATGCTAAACTTTGTTAGTCAAAATATGAAAGAGGATTACGAATAGTTGTACTTATTCACCATTGGCCCGAAAGACTAAATTTTAGCCCTTTCAATTAGTTTTCATTCCCCTACTCAAAATATCAGTGCCGGAGGTCTAGTCGTTATCTGGAGTGTGGCTTCAAGAATATAGAGACATCTTGAGATCCTGAGTTATTTCTGTAACCATTGTATACAAGCATCTGAAACATTTTGTAATAGAATGTTTTAAGTCATTGCTAAAAACTGGTCTTGTAAGCTGATTTTGAATTCGAACTGTGAAGTTGGATTTGATGCCATGTCGTGTTGTTTAGTGCTTTCTCCTGCACACACACGTTTATAACTTATATGAAATATTTGAAGGAGAAGGATATACTTGTGAATATCCCAATTCAGGACATAGACATTGTATTTGATGACATACATTTGTGGCGTATTGCTTTTGCAGGTGTGTGATGAACTTGAGGATATGATGGAAGAGGGGGGAAATATTGTGGACCACCATGGTTGCGACTTCTTTCCAGAGCGTTGGTTTGATCGGGTGGTGGTGCTTCAAACTGAGAACTCTGTGCTGTATGATCGTTTGACAAAGAGGTACTAGCACTTACCATCTGTGTGATTCCTTTGTGTTCATTATCTTGTTATGTTTTATTTCTCAATAATTTTCAGCTTAACCTATTAGTGTCTTTAAACTGTTTGTTTTGTCAGAGGTTATGCTGGCTCAAAGCTTACAAACAACATCGAATGTGAAATCTTTCGAGTGTTGCTGGAGGAGGCAAAAGAGAACTATCGAGAAGAAATTGTGGTGGCGTTTAAAAGTGATTCTGTGGATGACATAAACAGAAATGTGGCTTCTCTGATTGATTGGGTTAGGAGTTGGTGTCCCGGATCCTAATCAAATCACTGCCAAGGGCTTTTCTTGATCCCATCTGTTGAAGGCATACTCCTTGCTAGATAACCGTTCTTACTGGGACTTGTATGATGCAGTATTGGGGGTTTTTTTTTTTTTTTTTTAGTTTTCTTCTTCCTCCTCCTCATCCTTTTTTTTTTTTTTTTTTTCAAGAGAACTACTAGATAGCGTGTGAACTTGTTTTCATAAGCATTGCTATGTTCAAGCTCAATGGATATGGCAAAGAATGATTGCTCATATTTAACAGTGAGTGTATGTGTTTTTTTTTTTTAAATGAACAGATGCTAGAGATGATTTGTATATGTGCAAAGAAGATGACCAAGTATATATTAGTTAGGAAGAGTCATAGTTCTCATTGAAGGGTAATAATGCCAGGGGAAGGAGAAGACCCAAACTAATATAGGTAGAGCAAGCTGGTAAGAAAATATGTGATTGAAGACTTTTGACTCTGAAGTATTTAGATAGAGCAGAATCAAAAAAATATAATTTATGTAACATGGCCAAGTAGTTGGACCAAAACTTTGTTTAGTTGAGTTGGTACTGCAATTATGTCTATATAACTATATCAATTGGCACTGGGGCAATAATGGCATCATATTTTTAATGGGTGGAGAGTTTTCCCTTTTTTAATTTGTGTCCATTTCTGGCCATTTTAATCACCTTTGGTTGATTGGATTTGGGGCCTCAAAATTAAAATTAGGTTCCATATTCACTGCATGAGAATGGAGACAAGACAGCCCATTTAAAATATATCTTATGTTCTTGTCGCACGATCAGTTTACAGATTAATATGTAATGGATGCATCTTAAAAGCTTTAATCAATCATGGTTTGGGATCTGTCTGCACGAAAATGTTTGAATGGAATGAACTACTGTAAAACTTCCCTTTTCCTATTTTTACTACTATCTGATGATATGAACAATAATGTTACATTGTTATGAATCTATCGTTTGGGATTTGTATCATAAATATACAACCTGGGAAGTAGTGTACTTTTCCTTTTAGTGTTTTCCCTCCAATTTTCTGTCTACCATATTATTTGAACACGCTCCTTTCTGTCACTATGTACGTACGACATACATCACATTCTCTCTTTCTCTCTCTATATTATATAATTGTATGTACACATGTAGTGTATGAAGATCGTCTCGTCATCTTCTCTATTAAAAATCCTAAAACCCTGTCGCTTCTTGGGAACCAACCACCACCCACCACATGCGAATCGCCGATATCCTAATGGACGCCGACGACGATGACTTCGGCGATTCCACCATCGCCGATATCGCTCACCGGCGAAGGAGGAGTGAGGATAACAGAAACTTCGAGTGTTTGTCACCGTGGTCGATTTTCTCTCGCTGGTTGTCGTGTGCCAAGAAGTCCAAGAGGCAGAGGAGTTTGGTGAAAATTGAGAAACTAGAGAGAGAAAGGAGGAGTGAGAAGGTGGATGGAGAGTTTGGTAGAGAGAGAAAGGAACAGACCAAGTGTTCGATGAAGGGAAAGAATGACGAATCATCTCCTTCGGTCTCGGAGGAGCTGAATGGAGATTGCCGTATTGCTGAGATGTCAGGTGATTATGTTGTTGTTTAGTATCAGACTTTGTTGTTTTGAATTTGCTTTTGTATTATAATTGATCTAGTATGTGTTTGTCTCTTGTAAAAGACCAACTTGTTAGGTGTGCTTGCATATTGAACATTTGGGGCAAAAGTTCAATTTGGTTCAAATATATGCACCCTTTACGAAATCTTGTATGTGTGTATGTTTAAGGTCTTTTAGTGCTTGTGTGGGGTGCTTTTTAGATGTGCCTTCCTTTGTTATTGATATTACTGATAGGCTTCATTTGCAAATTTCGTTCTCAGTTTGTAATGTATATACTTTGTTGATACAATACTCCCTGTTATTCTACTCAATAAATCCTTCTCCCAAGTCCCAACTATTTGGGGGTGGATTACATGGATTCTATCTATCATTTTGCATAAACTTGGTATTTTGTTTGGTGAGATTGAAGTTCTTATTTTGGACTATTCAGAAGATTGCTGGGAAGTTTTGACAAGGTTTGATTGATTCTTATTGATCAGTTGAAACGAATGATGTCGCTATATATCAGTTGAACTTTTTCAAATATTACAGGTGTTTCTGCAAGTTAATAGGGTACTGACCAAAAGAAAGCTAATAGTTCATTTACAATTTGTGTCTGTATGAGTTCATGAGCATTTTAAGAATTTGTTTACATTGTGTTGTCCATTTGCTTAACTGTTTGTTCACGTCCGTTTGTGTGGGTATTTATTTTCTAGGCACCATTGTGTTTGTTCTTCTCTGCGTTCCTTGCAACCTTACGTACTTCAATGTTACCCTCTGGTAAGTAGGATAATATTGAGCTCATTGCGTAATTGCAGCATGAAGGGCAATGCATGCCCATATTTAAACAGTTGGGAAATCTTCACTTTAATTTTGATTGAACTAGCAAGTTTAGTGAACTGAATTTTACTCGGGGATATTAACAAGCACAAGATTTATCCCAACCAATTGATATGTAGTCAGTTATTAGCTTTTAATTATCATTTACGGCTTTCTGCCAATATCTGACATCAGTTTCCTGGTTTTCTGTTCTAAATTATTTTATATACCAGCTCGCATGTCAATTAAGACATTTCTTTGCTTTGACAATTTTATATCATAATTTTAGTTCATGGCATCATCTTTTCTTTTTCTAACTTAATTATATCTGCGCATCTTTATTTATTTTTTATTAAATTATTTAATTCATTATGCAGGCCAATATATTAAGGAGGCTTCTTTCAACTTGGGAGCTGGATTTGGTCTGATTTATCTTATTGCTACAAGGACAAATGAACTTAGTAAGATGATGGAGTTGCGGACACAGATGGAGATGCTTCTTCAAAATGTTAAAGAGGAATTACAAAACCTAAGAACAGATATACTCTCAAAAACATCTGATCCTATTGGTAATAATGGTTACTCCACCATTGACGCTCAAGAAAGTTTATACACTAATGGAAATGTTTCACTTCAAAACCTTACACCGTTGGACAATATATCAGATTCAGAAATCCCCATGTTAGTCAATCAATCCCTGAATAGCGATACTAGTAGACAAGAAAGACGCATAGAAGAAATGGATCAGCTTGAGGCAGAACTTGAAGTTGAATTAGAACGCTTACAACGCCACTTGGACACTGAAGCAATGCTGGAAAACTCAAAGCAGCAAAGGATGGAGGTACGTTGCACATGCATCCCTTTTTTTTTTTTTTTTTCCCTCCTAGGAGTTGATATTGTGTCTTTTAAACGTAATTCTTTTTGTACAGTATGATTAAACGTTTTAAGCGTGCATGAATTGAGAAGGGCATGGCCAAATGAAATGGAGATTTGGCTTTATTGAGATCTTGTTAATATCAATATTAATTTTCCTACCTCTACTAACTCTGTTTCAAGATTTTTACCAAATTTTTGGCAAATAATACCTGTTTAAAAGTTCAAATATATATTGATTCTCTCTCTCTCTCTATTATGTCACCAGTTTACTCTCTTCTTCTCTGTGTCTTGTTTGGAAAAGTGAAGAGGAAGCTAAAGTGACAGCATAAGCTTTATCAAGTGAAATTTTACCTCAGTTTCAGTAGCACTTGTCATGAAAGTTAAATCCAAACCAAGTCATGTTTGCCCACTGTCTGAATACGGAATACCATTTATAGTTGATGACTGATCATAGAAAAATGTTTGCTTCATCAAATTACAGGGCATTTTACTTTCTGTTGTGCGCATTAGTTAGAAAAAAAAAACTGAAAAACTAATGTTTAACCCTTTTGTTGGATTCTCATTTGAGCAATAATCTCATAACATTTATTTATGCAACAATAACAGCTTATGAGATCTGTCCTCAATATAGCTTCAAAGGTGCAATATTAATGGTGATCATCCCTTGCTGTTATTTCCATAAAATTGAACTGTTTAGTAGAAATAGGATTCCAGTTGATCAATCATTTTGAAACAAAACGTGTCCTTCAGTAAACAAATGAAACTAGATGTTCATAGCTTCAAAAGGTGCAATATTAAATGGGATCACCCTTGCTGCAGGTGTTATTCTTGTCTCCTGTTACACTTCATATTTTCATGAATTAATATAACATTTAGTTAGGAAAATATCACCCTTGCTGTAGGTGTTATTCATTGTTTTGCTCCTGCTAATTATCAGCCTGTCCAAGAATGTTTCTCGTTATCTAATCTTTAGTCCTTATATCTATATTTGGTTTTAATTTTTCAGATTAGTCTTTATGTATATATTTGTTTCTGTCTAAATTTTGGCGAGGAGCGAGTACCAGGGAGTGCAAAATTGTGTTGCCCTCCATTTTTTATTTTTATTTTTTCTTTGGTACTTTTCCCTATCATCTGCTTTGTTCGACACCTACCTGACAGGTCCCTCATGTGGGATCACATGAGAATGGTTCTGACGAATCTGACCCAATTGTTATCTACTTATCTCATTATGGTCGTTGAGACTATACGCATGATCATTTTGATGAGTATGGGAAGTCAGCTTATTTTGTTGAATGCAACTTTTATGAATTGTAGCTTACGCCCTTTATCGTGGATACATGATAAACTTGCTTTTGTCTAAGCGCTGATCTTATGCTCCAGGCACAATAGTAGGAAAATACTTCAAACATATCTACTCCCAATTACCAAACTGTCTGAGAGAAACTTATATTGTTATGAACAATTTTTGTTTTATTCTACTTGATTTGTGCTTTCAGTTTTTCTTGTTGTGTATCCTTCTTTGTTGCATCTAAATCTCTGAAGCTTAAAATTGGCAGATGCCTTTTGAGGATTCTGCTCCTGAAGAAAGCTTCAGTGGTTCTGCAGAAGTTTTAGACCCGCCAGAGGATGACACCAGAGAACACTGGCCGGTTCCTCCCAATGAATTAGAGAGGAGGTTGCATGAACTTCTGGAAGCAAGACAGCAGGAAAGAATAAAAGAGCTGGAAGCTGCTTTAGAATGCGCGAGGCTCAAACTTTATGAGAGGGACACTGCACGATTCATATCTCAGCGTGTTCCAGAGTCCTATCACTTGTTAAGGTAAGCATCAATTGTGCAGAAGTTTTTTTGAAAAGGAAATCTCGATCAACACCTTTGTGTATGTAGAACTTCAGTGGACTCAAACTATTGCTCTTTTCGATTATTTATTTATTTTTGCTTGCGGTTCCACACTGTGTGAAAAATGATCTGTGGAAGATTCAGCAGATTAAGGTTCTTTTTTCTTTTGATTTTTTCCCTATATAAAGAACACAAGGATGTGAGTTGTGTACATGTCATTTTGTTTGTACTTCCTTATAACTGATACAACTTTACACATCATTACAAGTGCCTAGCAGCCTTATTATCAATTTTCTTAGCAAGATAAGCTGTACTGATTTGTATGTAATTAGGGTCTTCAAACTGAAATGATTATGCAACAGATGAGTTGCAGTAGACTTTTAACGAAGTGTTTCTGTCTTTCACTTTTTGAATTGCAATATGGTTGCTAACTGCTATGAACATCTTACTAGAGCTTGTCAGCAGTCAAAGTTTGGCAGTCGGTCTCTAGGAACCCCAGGGGACTCACCTAGACTATCAATTTTTCGCGTGAATAAGCATTTCTTGTAAGTTATTGAAAATATTTTAAGTGATGTGTTTGTCCTGTTTCAACGGTAGTAGTAGTACTGCATTATGAATTATTATGAACACAGGTTCATAGGGTTTTGTAAATTTTAATAGGGGCTAATCAGGCATTGATTAGGCCTTGTGAGAGTTTAATCCTGCATAGACAGAAATGTGCACCTTAGTGTAACAAGTTCATAGGGTTTTGTAAATTTTAATAGGGGCTGATCAGGCATTGATTAGGCCTTGTGAGAGTTTAATCCTGCATAGACAGAAATGTGCACCTTAGTGTAACAAGGGGCAATGTGCACCTTAGTGTAACAAGGGGCTTTGAGATTTTAAGTGAAGCTTTAAATTTAAGGGGTGGATGGTTCAAGTCATCATAGAGGAATGTGAGTTGGTGAGTTTTTTGCCGGGATAAAAAAAAATAATTAATAATAAAAGGTTGACTGGAGGCTCAATCATGTTTTCAACATTTTTGATATAAAGCATAAACTTGTTTTGCGTGATCTCTTATTGAAACGTTAGTGCATGAATATATTATGAGTGAAATGAGAACACCTTGATTTCCCAGTCACGAATAGCATAACTATATGTCCATGTTTGTGCATATATATATATATATATATATATATATATATATATTATGTAAATGAAGAAACCAGATATATGTAAATGTTAGTTTAATTTTTCAATGAAGAAGCGTCTTATATATCTTTTTATACTATATTTGTTATCATCGAACTTTTTTTCAATGAATAAATATTTTTAAAAAAATTTGAGGTACTGGAGCAAATTAAGAATCTACAGTGTATCAGTAATTTGATTGTGAAAAGTAACAAACATCGAATTTTTTGGTTGTTGCTCCCATATTCTTCCATCACCAAAAAAAATAGAGAGTGTTTTGCAAGAGTATGAAAATAGAATTATAATAAGTGAAGTTGTTGTTTTCGGTTCATTATAAGGTGAGTAGAATATGATTTATTTAATTTTTTTTTTTGTCAAAATTAACACCAAATAATAAAATCCAAAAAAGTATAATTTCAAGTCTTGATTATGATTTATCATTTATATTTATTCTCTGAACTTCTTGTTTTGTTATTGTCCTTTATTGCTACAAATAATATTATCATCTTATAAAGTTTTAATAAGACCACTAAATCACAAAATATAGGTTAGAGAATGATAGATTAATGAAGAAAATAATTTTTAAAATTTATTTATTAATAATCAACTTTGATGTCCATAAAGAAGCATGAATTATTAAGGGTATAGATATTATCTCAATGAAGTACATTATAAGCAGGAGAATTTGAAACTTTAGTTCTTGATTATGTTATAAATTACTACATTATATCTTTTTCAACCATATATCATTCTGCACCTAGTTCATTGTGTTCCTAAAGCACTAGAAGTGTCACACTTTTGGTGTTCCAAGCATTTTATAATTACCTTCCCAAAAAAAAAAAAAAAAATTGAATCAACTTCCAATTGAAAAAAGAAAATGAAAAAGAAAAAGAAAAAGAAAAAGAGAAGACTTGGGTGGGTTGGTAAGTCCGGAAAAGCGCGTGCGCTGTACATGTCGACAATGTCACGCAAGCATTGACTTGAACGTTAGAGAAAGGAAAGAGCAAAAACGTGAACACTACACTTGTTTTTTGTTTAGCGTGCGCACCACGAGGACTGGACGACGACCAACACTCTCTCACATAACAACAACAGACAGGACCACTTTCACACCGCAAATTATTTTATCACATTACACTTCAAACGGGAAAGCTTTCATTTTCATCAATTCTCTCTCTTCCTCAGTCTCTAACTTTCAATCTTTATATTACTACCAGTTATATATATATACACAAATATATATGGAGAAGACAGGTGGTGATGAGATGCAGGTGGCGAGCACAGATTCGAATTGGGCGAACATGTGGACGCTTGAATCGGTGAGAGAGAGTCTGATCCGACAGGAGGATACCATCGTTTTCAGTCTCATAGAGAGAGCCAAGTACCCAATTAATTCTCCGGCATACCAACAATGTTGTCCAGCAATTTCGGCTTCTTTGGTTCATTACATTGTTAAGCAAACAGAGGCCCTTCAAGCCACGGTCAGTGCCCTTTCTTTTCCTCTTTTATTTTAATTCTTCAATTCATTGTTTTTTACTTTTTACTATTTGTTTAACTTTTTAATTCTTCAATTCATTGTTTTTTACTTTTTACAACTAGTATTTGTTTAACTTTGTTCACTATCATATCATATAGTTAAATCTAGCTAATTTTTTTACGTTTCATTTATTTTAGTTGTTTAATCTTGAATTTCCTCCATATGTTTGTCTTGTCGGAATACAGTATAGTAGTATTTTCCTTTATTCCATTGTTAAGACAGTAAGAGTTTTAAAATTAAATTATTTGCCCAATTTGAGTCTACCTCACCCCCATTGTTGCTATGAGGGCATCTGTTACACACACACACACATAACAAATGGAATGAATTTCGATATGGTATTCTGATTGTTCGATTCTTATACATATGGTCCACTATCCATTGGGTAGGCAAAGTGTTTTAATATTTTTGCATGGTCGAGGCCAAGAAACATGTGTGGGGCCATGTACTTGGGGATTTTTTTTTTTAGGTTACCCTGCATTTGGGGTGTCCCTCATGGACCTCGTAGAGACACGTAGCTATGAACGACCCAATAAATTGTGTGACAGGTGCAAACGTAATTTATTTTTTATTTTTTAAATTTCAAGAAAGATAATATTAAAATTTCATAGATATATAATTTAAAAAAAATACTAGTAATTAATGTTATTTAAAAAAAAAAAATTTGGGGGGACAATTACACCCCCTAACTTCTCTTTTATATCAAGTCTTGATTGTAGCTTTTCACATAATGATAAGAGTGTCTTAATAAATTTCAATTAAATATATTTTGGGTCAAAATTAAGTTGTGTCCCGCTTTGTTAGGAACCAATTATTTTTGGGATTTGGAATTACAATTGAAAAAGGAATAGAATTGTACCTAATTAAAATAGGATTTTATTAGGAATTTGTAAATGGGAATTTTTTTAAAAGTAAATTATGTACCATTTTGGATAAGATACGTCAAATATGTGAAAGAAATATAAAAGAAACATTAAAACAATTTTTTGTAGCAGTTATTGGAGGACAATTTTGGTTAGTTAATAGTTAGTTACCAAATTCTTTGGAAGAATTTACAATATTTTCCTTAAAATCCCATCAATTATAATTTTCATTTAAAATTCCATAATTCCAAATAAATTAAATTACGTTTGAAATCCAATTTTCATGAAATCTTAAGATTCCAAACACAACGCAAAGTATTTAAGGGTGAGTCTAGAAGGCATTTATTTATCTTCAAAAGAGAATACTTGGGTTGACAAGTCTTGTATTTGTTTAATGTACACCACGCACTCTCTCTCAGTTTTCTCCACTTATATTTTTTGTTCGGTTGCTATTAAAGTGCCCTCCGTAATTCTCAACGACAACGGCAACTTTCACACTGCAAATTAATAATTTTCTAATAACACTTCACACGTGAATTATTCCATTTTGCCATTTTGCCATTTTGCTTCATCAAATCTTCCTCTTCTCTCTCTCTCTCCCTCTCGAAATGCTTCAATTGTATATATACATTTCCATTTTCTTTCTCTCTCTGGACCCCTCTCTCTCATCTATAAACAAATATACGGAGAAGGCAGCCCCTCATCATAAGGTCACCACAAATTCGGCGAATATGTGGACGCTTGAATCGGTAAGAGAGAGTCTGATCCGACAAGAGGATACCATCATTTTCAGTCTCATAGAGAGAGCTAAATACCCAACTAATTCTCCCGCATACCACCAACGTTCGGACGGAATTTCGGGTTCTTTGGTTGAATACATTGTTAAGCAAACAGAGGCTCTTCAAGCCAAGGTCAGCGAATATATATGTATATATATATATATATATATATATATATATATATATATATATATATTCTTGTTTTCAATTTCTTTAATCAGAAAATTACGACCAAGTCCTACTTTTCACATTCAAAGACAAATAATTCTTTGTCTTTTAGTAATTGTTTAATTTTGTGCTCGATCATAGAGCGCATTTTACATTTTATTTTAGTTGTAATCTTGTTTTTGCTATGTTTGTTTGTCTGAGGTTGTCAGGATAAAATATAGTAGTATGCTTTTTCCCATTGTTGTGGACAGGACACCAAGATTTTTTTAAATTAATTTATTTGGAAAATTTTAATTAAAAAGTATATATGTGTGTATTTATGTATTCTTTGTTTGGGGGTTGAGTTCTCTCCTTTTGTTATTTTGTTATTGAAATCTCTTAAAAGAACCTTTAATAACTACCCCATATGAGTCGACCTCCCCATTGTTACTATGAACTCTTTGTCAAACACAGGGTACAACATATCAACGAACAAAAAAAAATCACATCTTAGTACCTCAAAATGATATCATAAGCCAATTAAATTTGATATCTCAGTTTTACCAAATTTGGTTCTATTTTATATTTTAAATGAATGTCGATCTGATTTAATCTTTATAGGATCATCTATCAAATCGTTAGGTGAACGTTTCAATATTTGTGCATGATCGAGTCTAAAGCATAGAGAGTTCGTGGTAGCTGCATGAGGTCCCACTTGTTATAGCATTTTCCTGTTACTCATCCCTTGTTCAACTTCCCTGCCTTCTCCTTTCTTTAAAGAATCATGTGTGGATGTGGACTGAGCAGATGGAGCTGCGTTTCAACTTGGGGAAATTTTAGGTTGCCCCACATTTGGGTGTCCTCTCGCTAATGATATATATATATATATGACTTTGCGTTAATTATTGAGCTGTATAAAGAAGAGAGCTCATTGAAAGCCCTAAAGGAGGCCCTCATTTTGGACAATTATAGTTGACTTTACTTGTGGTGGATGTGGGTTGTTCATTGAATTTGCGTAATTTTTCAATGTCAAGTTGTCTCAAGTTGTCTCAGCGGTCTCTTTGCTTTTTGCACAATTATAGTTGACTTGACTTGTGGTGGATGTAGGTTGTTCTGGCTGGTTTAAGTTTTTGGCTTGCTTACCCAAAAATTGATTCAATTTTTTCTTAGCAATGAAGTATCGAATTTGATACTAAGAAATTGCTTTCTAGTCTAACAAAAGCAACTTTTTGGCCTTCTTTTTCTGACTTTTTATTTCTCGAGACTGTTAAAACTTAATTTTCAAGTGCTTCAAAATGAATTCTTATTGCCACAGTCTTACTTGTCCACGTACTTGTTGCAATTGTGTTAGCCTATTTTCATCGTTCATGATTGGCATTATATATATTACTCATTTTCAAAGCAAAATGACTCAATACACTTGTTCACTATAAGACTGAATAATTGTCTCGTGCTTTTAACAAAAAAAATGAATTTGGAATATTAAGCCTTGCTGCCATGCAATCTATAATAGAAACTTTACGTTTCAATTAAAATTCTAGGACTTCCTAACCATACATTCACATTACAACATTATGATTCAATGGGAAATGTGGGAGAGGCCTGATAAATCTTTTAAACCTTGGAAATAACTATTATTAGTGAAACTTTAAATAAAAAATGTTCTTGTACACTGTGAATGAGGAAACTCCAAAGTCGGAAGTTCTGAAGATGCTGAGATAGGCACCAGTTTTTGCATTGTATGGACGGAGCTTTAATATCCTGATTTTTTTTTTATTTCAATATGCCAAACAAGGAGTCAATGAGAACATGATAACGAGTAGCAAAAGACAGTCTCTTAAGGTCTAGGTTTTGTAGTTATAGTCTCTACATATGACCCTGTATAGAAAATATAACTAAGTGTTTGTCACTTACAGGTTGGTAGATATGAAAGCCCAGAAGAAAATCCCTTCTTCCCAGATAATTTACCACCTTCGCTGCTTCCGCCTCACAACTATCCACATGTAAGTATTCATCAAATGTTGGCTTTCGCTCGTCTGTGCGCCCCCTAAATTCATTAACAAGACTATGTTCTTCTACTGATCATTCAAATTATAGTTTTTGCATCCCGCAGGAGCTTCAGTTAACATAAATAAGACGATATGGGATATGTATTTCAAGCAACTGCTTCCACTCTTTGCTGCCGAGGGCGATGATGGCAACTATGTGCCCACTGCAGCTTCTGATCTCCAGTGTTTGCAGGTATTTATGTTTGTAGACTCTTTCGTGTTATAAAATGTAACAATGTTATGGTCAATTATTTTGTCACCGCCTACTCTTGTTGAAATCAATAGCCTCATAGTCAAGAATGAACAGTAACCCTTTAATTTGTGTTTTGTTATAAGAACTGAAGTGTTTGTATTTTGGTATCAAAAATCCTTATTTAATAGCAGATGTATGTCCCATAATTCCTTGCAGGCCCTCTCTAGAAGGATTCATTATGGAAAATTTGTAGCTGAGGTTAAATTCAAGGATGCTCCACAAGACTATAGCCCTGCAATTCGTGCTCAGGTATTGCTAACCATTATAACTAATTAATCACTATTGTTTTCTTGTCTAACACATACTAAGGCTAATGTGAAGACAGCGTATGAAAGTAAGGTGTTTTACTTTTACTGAAAAGACAGAATGACATAATTATTAAAAAAAGCGTCTCAAATTCGTAGTCTTCTCTATTTTAGAGTTTTATATTGGTAGGAAATTTTTAGTCACACAAATTTAGGGCTCCAAGGAATTGTAATCCTTGTCCAGCAAAGAACTAGGTTCAAGACTCTATAGTCTTGTGTTATGAGTTGGGTCAAACTACGATAATCTTGTGGTGTTGTGCGATTGCTTTATTATCGGTGATTGAACCTCAATTTGTTTACTTTCTTGCTGGCCCAACCATGATTTGTGAACAGACTCACTTTCTAATCCCAACTTATTGTCGATCATTGTGTTTATACCCTCGACATTCAAAATGATAAGACTAATTTTTCTTTTATCGGTATGAGATACTTATGCTTTAACTATGAAAAATTAATGTTATAATAGGTATAGATGTATATGAATTACATGGAGTCTGTAAATAATTGAACAGAACAGAGGAATAACAGCATTTCTATTTGGAAGTGTCATATTACATACAACTTAATGTCAAAGTTTCTGGACACATTTGTGTAGTATTTTTAGAGTACGGCTCAATCAATAGCAAGCCATGCCATTTTTTAATCGGTTCTTATAACTCAAACTTCTGTTCACACTCACAGTGATTGATTTTGGTTTTTGTAGGACAGAGATGCTCTAATGAAACTGTTGACGTTCACGAATGTTGAAGAGATGGTGAAGAGGAGAGTTAAGAAGAAAGCCATGGTGTTTGGGCAAGAAGTTACCCTGGACCACAATGTCACCGACAACAATAACAATGGGAAGTACAAGGTTGATCCATCCGTAGTTTGTCGCCTCTATGAAGAATGGGTGATGCCTCTCACCAAGCTTGTTCAAGTTGAGTATCTTCTCCGTCGCCTTGATTGAAAACTTTTGAGCTGTTTGTATTGACAGTTGACACAGTACTGAGAGGTTTCTTCAGATGGAAATTCATGCAATGTACAACAATAGATCTTGTGATTCTTGATATTTTTAAATTTAGAATAATTTTTTTTTAAGCTACCATGTATTTGTGTCTTTTATTAAGGTATCATTTACATCCCCATACGGATGTATGCTCTGTATGCACACATGCATGTCAAACATCTATTCACAGATGATAATTGTTCTCTCCTATGAACCCCTTTTCACTGTCTCAGTCACGAGCTAGCAAAGAGTGGTGGCAGTAAGCCCAAATATCAATTTTGTGTCACTGGGCTCGTGTAATTGGGTTTCCTCGAGCCCAAGTATCAATTTTGTGTCAATTTTTATTATTATTTCGGAATGGGTTGCCCATCCGGTGACCCAGTCCGCGATCACCAAAATAGTTGGGTCAGAAAAAAGTGGGCGCAAAATAAATTTTTTACTTAAAAAAAACAACTCAGGGCATTGTTGCAACCTAAGTCATATAAAATGAGAGCGAAAACAGAAACACAAAAATGGTAAAATAAATTAAGTTACAATAATGGAAATGGGAGCGAGAGTGCACGCGAAACGTCCGCGATACCCTTTAAGAAGGATTGTGTGACTTAGGTTGCAACGCCTCCAGGGGCAGAGCCAAAAATTATCTAGCTAGAACTTTGGAAAAAATATATGTTTATATTACGTAGGCAAAAATATTTTACTATTTATTATATTCATACAAAAATATATCTATTTAAACTTTTTTCAATTTATTTAAATAAAAAAAAACTAGTTATTTAAAGAAATTTTATCAAACTTTCTGAACAAACACAAATAAGATTTATGCCAAAATTATAAAAAAATTCAATTAAATAACTCTCTCTATTTACCGAAAAGGAAAAAAAACACAAAAATAACTTTAAAAAAAATATAACAATTGAAAATTTAACAAAACAATAACAATGATAAAAAAAAAACACAAACAAATTAATAAAATAAAAATTTAGATCCTTAAATCATGGATTTTTGTTGATATTCAAAACTTCAAATGAAATTTTTATTCTTGATTTTGTAAAAATTAATTTCTTATAGAATTCTTATAAAAGCATTTCAATAAAAATGAATAAAAAAAAAAAAGAAAAAAAAAAGTGACGGAAAAAATCACGTATGAGGTGGAATTTTAGAATAATAAGGTTATGGAAAGAATCGTATTTGTAGTCACATTATGGAAAAAAACGTTATTTGAGTTGAAATTTTAAGATAGCCATATTAAATTTTTATGTGAATTAATTTTTATCGGGATTCTATAGTCGTTAATTAAACCACTATATAAACTATCTTTTGTTAAATTCTAATTAAAGAAATAAATTTTTTTTCTTGGGGGGAAGTATAAATTTTATACTATATATACTATATTATTTTTTTTTTTTTATCTATACTAAAAAAAAAAAATTCCAAAAAATTAGGGCCCCCCGCCCGAACGCCTCTAAAGACCCCTTTCAATACTGAAATTAAGAGCCATTAAGGCACCAAACTGTCTCTAAAATGACATTTTAATATGATAATAACGAAAAGGTTTTAAATTGCACGATAAAAAAAAAACAATCTAACTTGACTTTTAAAAATATTAAATAACTTTTAAAAAATGTTAAGGTGACAAATTTAGATTATCAAATTTTTAAGATCCCATTTAAATTGCTCTTATTAATTGTGGGGCAATTTTTAATCCAAATTGAATCTTCTTAAATTAAAACTAAATAAAAAAATACGTCAGCAAGCTCATTTGAATTTTGAGGATTCAAAAATCAGGAATATTCATAAGTGAAAGTAGTACATTTTTTTAGCTTAAAAAATAAATATGAAAACTTCAAAAACCATAATTGTTTATTTCTAATCGTTTTGTTCTTATTTTTATTTTTCCACATTTTAAAGCTTCTATGTAATATAATCACTGGATTGATAACTATGCTGCCTATCTAGCTGACTCAACCGGTTGCAATTTTCTCGCATATTATGAGCAACCAAACAGGTGAACAAAAAACTTAACCCTAACGGTGTCAGTTAGCGGCTCAAACCCCCCAAATATAACCACCTAGTCAATATCAGTCAAAGAAGCAGCCCCATTTATTTACTTCTCTCTCTCTCACTAAACCCTTCTTCTCAATGCGGAGACAAACAAACCAAAAACCGAACTCCATGCACAGCGCACCTTAAAACACCGTCCGAAACACCACCTCTCTCTCTCTCTCTCTCTATATATATATATATATATCTTTTTCTCTCTCTATTCATGGATGACACACAGAGCTCTCAACAACCACCAACAGAACAACACAGAAATGATACACATCAACAGCCTTCTCTGTCTTCCCTCTCTTTGCTCGGCAATCCCTCGTTCGATGAACAACTCTCAGTCCATAGCCACAAATCTGAAACCCTAGCATTCAATGACTGCGACTTCGATGGCCGCTCTTTCTCCGAACTGCTCGAAGGTGTGATGGCCGTCAATTCAAGGGTTTCTGGAAATGCGCCGGAGCTTAAAATGGGTTTGGTTCCTCCACTGGACGTTGGATTTAGAGTTGAGTGCGGACTCCTTTTGGATCATCAGTTTGTCTTTCAGTGAATAATTTGAATGCATGTGATGTTTTATTTATTTATTATTATTTATTGTGAACGGTCTCTCTCTGTTTGAATGGTCAAGTATGAACTAGTTAAGTTGTGTAATTTAGTCGTTTGTTGAAATGATTGTTAGAATTGGTTTATTTTTTATTTTTTATTACAGTGTAATGAAAATTGTGATCACATTAAGAAATTTTTGGTATTAGTTTTAGTTCAGGTTTTGGCCTTTGGTTTGTTTTGATGGAAAATTTTCCAAACACAAATAAGTTGTGGAATGTATCAAGGTAAATGTTTGAACTTTACTTATACTTCATTAGAATATAATATTAAATCTATTAAAAAAAAGGTACCCTTTTGGACCAATATTTTACTGCAATTTTTCTTGGGTGACCATTTTCATTTCAACACTTCTCTGTTGGTTAAAAATTTTCTAGTAGGAATTGGGGTTTCTTGTAGACAATAAAGTTTTATTCTTTATTTATTTGTTTATTTTCTCTTTCAAATATGTATATATATATTTTAGTTTAAAACTTCCTTTATCAAGCTAATTATTTATCCAAACTCACTTTTGTTTGTTTTCCTGACTTGATTCCCAGAATGAAGATCTAATTATATAAAATGGTATGAAGGATTTAGCAAATATAAAAAATAAAAAGCGGGTTTGTAGTTATAGAGTTTAATTATCTACATAGCACGAGTCCTTTTAGTTATCTATTATGATCATTATCAAATTTCTTTTCTTCCCGCTTCCATTTCTGTTTTCACTATTTGGGAATATGGAATTTGGGGAATGATACAAGGTCTTGTGAGATGCCTCTAAAAGCATTCTGAATAAGCTAAATACACAATTCTATGGGAAATGTCGTTTTAAGAGATTGAGTGTATAAGAAATAATTGTTGATTACCCTAATTGGCAGGGTTACAATTAGAATGATCATAAATAGATAATAGAATACTTAAGATAACAAGATTACTCAATTATGAAAAAAAGATAACAAGGATTTGATTCAAGGGAGATTACTAGAAATTTCTTGATAGGTGTGCGTCCATGATTTATTTATTTTAGAAGGGAAATTCTTGAATCTTGATAGGTCTGTGGTCATGATTTGTGTATTGTAGAAATTACCTTTGCTATTGATCTACTGTGAATTACTCGTAATATGTCTTACAGGACCACTTTAGTGAAATTTTGATTGCCAACCTCTGTTTTTAGTTTTTTCAATGATTGTAGGTCTATTAATTGCATTATTTATTTTGTAGGAGCAATTTGAGATCTCACATCAGGAGGTTTCGGCAAGTATGACAAATAAATCTGCTCAAGCTCAGTCACAGATGGTTCAATCCGGGTGTTCATGTCCTTCTACTGAGTTATCACCTGTTATACCATCTGAGTCAAGTGTACTAAATTCAATACTGGTAACAGAAGAAGCATTATCAACACCTCATGACAATATTTGTGCACCAGAAGTGAACCAGCAAACCTCCTCCAACTATGAATCCGTATCTGCCTCGAAGACGCTTACAAGTGATGGATATAATTGGAGGAAGTATGGCCAAAAGCAAGTGAAGAACACTGGAAGTTCTAGGAGCTATTACAGATGCGCAAATTCTGGTTGCCATGCGAAAAAGAAGGTTCAACGCTATAATCACTCTGGTTGTGTCATTGAGATTCTTAATGAGGGTTTACACAATCATGATCCACCTCCAAAGATTAGATGTACTAGGTCAAGAAGGCTTGTATCATCTGCCGGACATGTTGTAGGTAATGATACCATATATTATCCACTTCAAAAGACTGATGATTCAGATCAATCTATGCCTAGAAGAGATCCTAGACCAGCATCATTGCTGGCACTTGGAATGGAAGCACACACACACAGCAGTTCAGATGGAGATGCAAGCATTAAGGTAGAGGAGGAAGATGGTGATGATTTGGAGCCAAAACAGAGGCATGTTCTTTAGTTATTTATTCATCTATGGTTTTGTGTTGCTATTGTCTTTGTTATTTACATTCTCCGTATAATCAGGAGAGAATTACAACAACCGATACTGCTGCCATCTGAACAGAGAAAACAGAATGTAAGTGGTTACAATGAGATTGCTAACATTGATGCTCAGGAAAAACCCAGTGATGAACCCATGCTGAAACGGAGGTATGCTATTTAAAGAAATTAATTTTCCACTGGACTTTGTATCAATATTTTAGTTACCCCTTTATTGTACATTTTCTGTCAACAAGCAGGATTAAAGGAAGCACCATAGCATATTCAGGAGCCCTCCTTAGAACTGTTAAGGAACCTAAAATTGTTGTACATACTTCTGGGGATGCGGGTGTATCAAGCGATGGCTACAGGTGGCGTAAATATGGGCAGAAAATGGTTAAGGGGAATCCTCACCCTAGGTGAATTTCAAATTATCTTAGTTGTATATTTTACTAATAGCCTTTGTACGTATATTAGTTTTAGTTGATTTCTTTGATATGTGTTACCCAAAAAATTCTCTGCTTAAACGTTATTTTAATGTCTTAATTCAGCTGTAACAAATGGTTTTATGTTTGATTTTGTTATTTATTCTTTTCTTTATGCCTATTTTATGTAGCTATTCAGATTCTTATTTGTTATACATAAATTAGTGCAAGTAGATAATATTTATTTTCTTCTTCAAATATAATCATTTTTCTGAAATAAATCTTGCTTTCATTTGGGGAGATAAAAAAGTGATATATAATATTGATTTTCTAGCAGTATGCATATCCTCAAAAAGTTTTGGAGAAAGACAAAAAAAATAATAATAAAAAAATAGAAGCAATCATTATCAGAGACAAGTTCTAGCCTCAACTTTAATGAAAAATCCTCCTTGCTTACTATTAGCCTATATGGAAAATACATTAAAATTTGAGAAAACAAAATATTGGGAGAAGGGATGTCTAGTTGTCTACCATTTTTAATTTTTCTTTTTTAATGAAAAACTCTCTGTCAACTAGCCTTAGTTTATAATAAGATTTTTGGGGGGTAAAAGAATAAAAGGAGGCATTGATGTTTTACATAGTATTCAAAAGATATAACATAAAAAGTGAAGCATTCAGCTCACAAATGTGTTTTGCCCGTTGAACTATTCTCATAGCAACTGGTAGAGATAGTTGATTACTAGAAAGCAACTCCATTTCCTTATTCTAAGATATTTGTAGTTCATTTGTTGCAAAATAAATTAATCTATCCGTCGCATGGGATGATTATACATTAATGGATTCTTGTCTTAAATTCCAGACTAGACATTTTGTAGTATTTTGTAAGTTACTTTTCGACTGATAGAATTTAGAAGTTGAGCCCAAGTTGGTTTTAATAATCCTTTCTGATAGTTTATTTAGTAAAATAGTATGATTTTTTATTGGATTGCTAATAATCCCAATCTTCACAATAAAATATAATAAATAAAATAAAATTGTCTTTGGTTAGAAATTTAGTATAGAAAGTGATGCTGGTCTGTATTCTGAGACAGTTTACGATGGACTGCTGAATGCTGATTGAAATTCTGTTGAATGCCTGATTAAAGTACAAATCTTGTACAACTAAAATCATTTTTGTCCAACTCTAGGATCTGACTGAGCTACTATACTATGGACTTTTTTTGTTTTCTTGAAGATGTACAAGCTACTCCTACTAGACAGATTTTAAACTCATCTCATTTGAGGGCCAAGCACTCCACAAAATATGCATTATTAAGATAGCAGAGGTCTGGAACTCATTTATACGTTCTACTTGTTTGTTAGTCAGAAGTTTATCAGTATATCCTTTGTCACATGGATATGGAGATGAGAATGGATACAAGAAGACATGGATATAGTAGCATGAAAAACCCTAAGAGTCAGCCCTTCAAATGAATCTAGTTGTACTGGCTTGCGTTGATAAACTGCCATAGCATTTAATAGTGCCATCACGTGTAACCTTAAATTTACTCTATAGAATTATCAATTCACTGTCTTCCAGTTTTACCAAGATATCTAGGTGATGCCTCGGATCCATTGTCTGATTTGTTAAATCTCTGTGTACAACTATATATGTGTATATAAGAAAAATACTACAATATGTAGTTGTATACATACATACATATAGACTCTTCCCCAAAGGGGAGGTTGAGAGTTCGAGCCCTATTAGGGACAATATTGCGGGGGTGTGTGCATTTGCTTGAACTTTTAGAAAAAGTAACTACATACATATGTATACATATATATACAAATTCACTATAGATATTACATACATATATATACATATGTGTATATGTATTTATGTTCATCTATCTCTAATATATATGCATATGTACGACTAGTTCGAACTCTAGTCCTCAATTAACATATGTATATAATTAATTGAGAAAAACAGGTTTCTTAATTTTGGCCTGAGTCCAGCTCAGCTCTTGCTCTGGGCCATGCGTCGTGACTTGTAATTTTGAGGCAGTCCTGACCCACCGATCAAGTTTCACAATGTGACAGGCGGGCCGGGCTTGGGCGTGAAATCTTCGGGCTTAGCACCCTTATTTGTATGACTCCTCCAAAATTTCGACCTGAATCATCTGCAGCGTCATTTTAATGCTGATGATTGACTGAATGCCTTGCTGATGTCTTTCCTTGCCCCCCCGCCATGGCCCAAAATTCGAGCCATTTGTTCAAATTTTAGATCAATGGCTGGCAGCATGTTTACCATGTTGATCAGAGCACTGACAATGCTCTCAAGATGCTGGCAATTTTGCTGTCTAGCCTGTTGAAGATTCCTATAGAGTACTTTCTTTTACTTGTATGTTGAATTATAATAGAGGTTGGCGTTCTGACCGTTCTCATTTAGAGACTCTTTACAGTATTTGTTCAAAGTTGATACTATTCATGTAGAATTTATATGCAGACAGTCACCTTGGACCAATATTTCGAAGTTTATTCCTATTTGTCCTTTAATTATAAAAAAAAATGAAATAAAATAAAATAGCAAAAAGGTTCTTCCTATTTATCCTTCAGGGTGATTTTTCTCTCTTTGGAATGATTGCTTTGAGATGTATAGTGGTTATATGTGCTGTTATGCGAAGATTTGTCATTTTAGCCTTAAATGTGTTGTTAAGAATGCTATTAGAACAATGACATTTCTAGGCTATATTATTCATACTAATAATTAATAAATGCATTTGATAACTAATTTAGATTTCTATTCTTAAGACTTAGGTATTAAAATTTGGTTTTGCTATAATGGGAGATTGAAATGTAATTTGTAAAGGTCATATATATATGAAGGATGGAATAGAATCTTGAAAGATCTGTGGACTGTGGAGCTTGAGTTAATTGTTGGAATGACTTTCTTCAAGCATATTACGGACCCTTTTGTGTTCACTCTTAATCAGATCGTTCTTTGCTTTACTTGATAGGAGCTACTACAGGTGCACATCTGCTGGATGCCCTGTTCGTAAGCATGTCGAGAGAGCTTTGGATGATGCAAGGGCAGTCATAGTAACATATGAGGGGAAACATGATCACGACATGCCTGTACCCAAGAAGCGACATGGCCGACCAATTTCTCCTCTATTTATTACTTCTGCTACAGCTGTGAACAATGTGCAATCCGAAAAAGTTGGAACACTATCTAAACAAAGATCTTTGAGCCAGTGTGCAGAAGACATGGAAGTTGATCTGGCAGGTGAGAACGTCAAGGAACTTGGAGGTGAAAAGGCACTGGAGTCAGCTCGAACTCTTCTGAGTATGGGAATTGAAATCAGGCCTTGTTAGTAAACTGATGTGGTTGTTGACCCAGTGTATAATCTCCATGACCATATCTTCTAGTTCTATAGATCATGCACCCTTTCAATATGCATCATTAAATTCACAGGTTTGATGGATTTTTTTTTTTTTTTTTTTTTTTTTTTTTTTTTTTTTTGCATGTGTTCTATACCTAGATGCAGTTCTGTATATTCTTCTTCTTCTTTTTTTTTTCTTTTTTTATTTATTTTTATTTATTTATTTTTTTTTTCCTGAATAGCAGTTTTGTATATTCAGGTTAGCATAATTACAAGTTTTGTGTGAACTTGAAGCTCATTCAAATTATTAATTGGTTTGAGCATTTTCATGTGAAGTAGTTGTTTGACGAGATAGATGTGAATCTGAAATAAAGTTGTCATCTGGTCTCTTTTCAATATGTTTTCAATTTGCGTATGAATTGTGATGATTGTTTAAACCTGAATTTTCTGCCTAAATGGCACACTGTTAGCCCCTTGACGGTTGTCCAAGGGAAGACATGGGCATTTCAAGGCCATGTCATGTCTTGGGAATACTTTGACTTTTGTTAGACAGCCATGAGGATGCTCAGTGGGTTGTCAGCGTGCACAAGATGCTCAGCGTGCACACAGGATGCTTAAAAGGATGCTCGGCGTGCACTGGGGGTGCCCAGTGGCACTTTCGTAAATATGGTGAAAAATGAAACTTGGAGTTTTGACTCGGGATCTTTATGGGAGGTACCTTGAGTCCATAAAAGCTGGTTGGCGCAGGCGGCACTCAATTTGGATGTCGGGAAAGGCCTGAAAGGCCATTATGACTTCTCAAGCATGGGTGATGTTTACTTCTGTCAGAGTGCTGGATTTCCTTAAGACTATACTAGGGAGGGGTCTGTTGAGCACATCGGTTGGGCTATGGCATGGCTTGCTTAGAGGGCTTAGCCAACGTGCATGGGCACGTGTTGCACCACTTCAAGATGGTTGCACAAATGGGGAGCATCCAAGATATTGAAGGGCAAACAAGTGGGCACCGACACGCGCGCTGGTGTGCAGCGGCGCGCGTGCGGGCGTGTAGGTGGGCGTGCGGGCAGGCGTCCAACCTAGTGTGCGCGAGCGTCTAGCTCGGCGTGTGCACGGGCGTCCAGGTGGGCGTACAGCCACGGGCGTATGATGGTTTAAACATGGCGCGCAAAGAAGGGCACTAGTGTGTGCGCCGGCGTGCACTTTGGTGTGCACTCGAGCGTGCATGGCTTGGCAGGCCGTGCACTCAGAGACATATATATGTGGGTGCAGATTGGTGGACTTGGCTTGAGCTAGGTTCACAAGGTTGACTCAGATGTGGCTAGAGCATAGACAACACAAAGTCATGGCTTGCGGTTACAAGATATGGTGGCTAAGTGGGCTCGGTTGGTTGGGAGAAGTTACTAGCACTTCCCACTCATCATGGGAAGTGGGGGAGTGCTGAGTAACCTCCCAAGCATATGGCACAATTCTGAGAGGACCAACATACAGGCGGTTAAGGGTGGTTTCTTCCACTATGCAGAATGTAACTTCTTGTGGTTATGTGGCATGAGCAGAATATGCCAACAAGTCTAGCAGTTGGGCTTGTCAACTGCATTATAATGCTGACACATTTGGAGGGTGCCAGCATGACCCTAGGTGGATGGGGGTGTCATCCATCATCTTAGTGAGCAGTTATGGGCGGTTTTGAGAGTGGCCTATATAATGCTAAGGTGGGCTTTGTAGAGGGAACATAGAGGAGGGTGTGAGCCTTGGTTCCTTGTACGAACTCATGTTCCTTTGTAATATGTTTAATATGAGCAAAGGTTGGGGCTTGTCCCTGTAAACTGTGTGTGCCTTCTTTACATTTTTATACTGTGTGTATTATGTTGTTGTGTTGGCTGAGACTTGGTGGCCCCAACTGCCATTACAGAGGCAAAAATTCGTGGTGTAATTTAGCCCTGTAACAATTGGTATCAGAGCCCCGTTCTACGATGGCTGGAGGTAATACTCGTGACAGAGTTTCCCGTTTGGAAGAGTTTGTGGGTTTTCCTATAGAAACAGAGGTACAAGATGGTGCGGAGAGTCTTGTTGTTCGAATCGAAAACTTGGCTTCTGAAGTGGAGATCTTGAAGACTGATCCTGATGGGTTTGGTGACTTCATGCAGGCCACCAAAGAGCAATTGACCCGTATCTCTGAAGATGTTGAGTCGTTGACTAATGTCTTCAAGAAGAACCTGAAAGACCTTGAAGATGAAGTGTCCTTGGTGAAGAGGGCCATTCATGGGAGTTCCAGAGGCGGTGGTGATCCTCTTTCACAGAAGATCAAGGTGCCGGATCCCAAGTCTTCAGTGGTACCCGAAATGCTAAAGAGTTGGAGAATTTCCTATGGGACATGGAGCAGTACTTTAAGGCTGCTCGAATCCCTGATGGCTAGAAGGTGACCATTACAAGCATGTATCTGTCTGGTGATACAAAACTATGGTGGCGCACACGGACAGAGGACGATGCTTTTGCGGGTAGGCCTCGGATTGAAGTTTGGGAGACCCTTAAGAAGGAATTGAAGGACCAGTTCTTGCCTCAGAACACTGCATGGATTGCAAGGGAATCTCTGAAGAAATTAAAGCACACAGGCACCGTTCGTGACTATGTGAAGGACTTTAGTTCCTTGATGCTGGACATTCGAAATATATCAGAGGAGGACAAGCTGTTCAATTTCATGTCGGATTGCAACCATGGGCTCAGGCAGAACTCCGTAAGCAAGGTGTGAGGGACCTTCCTATTGCCATGACAGCGGCAGATTGTCTTGTAGATTTCAAGATGACGGGGTCTACTACACAAGACAAGAAGAAATCCAAGGAGGGGAAGAAAGACAAAGGCCAGTCCTTCAGGTTCAAGGACAAGAAGAAGGACAAGAATCAAAAGAAGGATAAAGGCGATGGCTTTGTCAAGGCCAAGGCAGATTACAATAACAAAGGGAGTAGTAGTGGGACTAAGCCCAACTACGGTTGTTTCATCTGCAATAGTCCCCATCGTGTTAGGGACTGCCCCAAGAGGGAGAAACTGAGTGCTATTGTCGCTGATTCAAAAGGAGACTCAGACTCGAAAAGTGGTCCAACCCGAGTCAATCCTCTGCAAATGCTGAATGCTCTTACTGAAGAACAGTCCATGGAGTTGAAAGGGCTCATGTTCATTCAGGTGACGCTGAACGGCAAGGAAGTTTTGGCAATGGTGGACACGGGAGCCACTCATAACTTCATTGCGCATAGGGAAGTAAGTAACTTTAATTTAAAGTTAATTCCACATGCTAATAAGATGAAAGCTGTGAATTTTGAAGCCAAGCCTGTCTTAGGCATGGCCACCACTTCTATGAAAGTTGGTTGTTAGGAGGGCGTAGTTAGTCTTATGGCTGTACCCTTAGATGATTTTGATCTAATTCTTGGAATTGAGTTCCTTACGAAAGCCAGAGTGGTAGTTGTGCCATATTTGGGAGGAGTTTTTATTTGGGACAGGAGTTGTCCATGTTTTATTCCATCAGTGGCTCTTTATGGGCACCAAAAGAAGGAAGATCGTAAATATGGCTGCATCGAAATAATCTCTGCATTGCAAGTGAAAACAGGTTTGAAGAGGGGAGACTCTACCTTTCTTGCAGCTATGATAGAGATCAAACCGGACCAGCTTGTTGAAGTTCCAGATTCTGTTGCTGAAATTCTAGAGGAATTTGCAAAAGTGATGCCACCAGAACTACCTAAGCAATTGCCCCTTCGACGTGCTGTTGATCACAAGATAGAGTTGGAGCCGGGGGCAAGGGTTCCTGCTCAGGCCCCATACCGAATGGCGCCTTCAGAACTGGCTGAACTGCATAGACAGTTGGATGAGTTGCTGGAGTCTGGCTATATTCAACCATCTAAGGCACCGTATGGCGCGCCAGTGTTGTTCCAGAAGAAGGAGGATGGCTCAATGCGGATGTGTGTGGACTATAGGGCTCTGAATAAGGTGACTGTGAAGAACAAGTATCCAGTGCCTAATGCTGCTGATTTATTTGACATGTTGTCAAGGGCATCCTACTTTATTAAGCTGGATTTACGTGCAGGTTACTAGCAGGTGCGTATAGCAGAAGGAGATGAACCCAAAACCGCATGTGTAACTCGTTATGGGTCTAATGAATTTCTTGTAATGCCGTTTGGGCTAACTAATGCCCCGGCAACCTTCTGCAACTTAATGAATAATGTGTTTTATGACTACATCGATCGCTTTGTTGTTGTTTATTTGGATGACATTGTAGTCTATAGTGAGTCATTGAAAGATCACTTAAAACACTTGAGATTGGTTTTCTCAAAACTGAAGGAGTTTCAGTTATATGTCAAAAAGGAGAAGTGTGAGTTTTGTCGCCAAGAAATGATGTTTTTGGGGCATTGGATCAGTAAGGGCCATGTCAGAATAGATGAGAGAAAGGTGAAAGCCATCCTTGATTGGTCTGCACCTACCAAAGTGATAGAGTTGAGATCTTTTCTAGGGTTGGCAAACTACTACAGAAAGTTTACAAAGGGGTATTCCAAGAAGGTTAGTCCTTTAACAGACTTGTTGAAGAAGGAAAAACAGTGGGTTTGGTCTGAGGAGTGCCAGAATGCTTTTGAGATGCTTAAGCAGGCAGTGTCTACAGAACCGGTCTTGAGACTGCCTGACTTTGGTTTGCCATTTGAAGTGCATACTGATGCCTCTGATAGAGCAATTGGTGGGGTCCTAGTCCAAGAAGGACACCCATGTGCCTTTGAAAGCAGGAAGCTTAAGGATGCTGAACAGAGGTATACAACTCACGAGAAGGAGATGACTGCAGTGATACATTGTCTTGACGCATGGAAGCACTATCTGTTGGGTACCAAGTTTACAGTGGTGACTGATAATGTGGCCAATACCTACTTCAAGACACAGAAAAAGCTTACTCCAAAGCAAGCTCGTTGGCAAGAGTTTCTTGGGGAGTTTAATTTTGTGTGGGTTCACAGACCTAGAAAGCAGAATCAGGTTGCTGATGCCTTGAGTAGGAAAGAAGTGCAGGAATATGTGACGTCGTTGACAACGGTGTATACTAATTTCCTTGACAAAATCAAAGAGCAATCTCAGTCCGACAATGCCTATCAGAAACTTAAGCAACAGGTTGCTGATGGTGAAGTCAGAAAGTACTGGATTGAAGATAATCTACTCTACGCCAGAGGAGGTAGATTATATCTTCCTGTTGGAGGTTTGAGATAGGAACTAATGTGGGAAATGCATGATCCTCAGTGGGCTGGACATCCAGGGGTGGATAGAATGCTGGCGTTGATATCCAGATCATATTACTGGCCCAAGATGGAGGATGACATAGAGTTATATGTCAAGACTTGCTTGGTTTGTCAGAAAGACAAGCATGAGAGGAAGAAGGAAGCAGGGCTACTGCAACCCTTGCCTATACCAGAGCGTCCATGGCAGTCAGTTTCAATGGACTTCATTTATGGTTTTCCTAAGGTGGAAGGTATGAGATCTATTTTTGTGGTTGTAGATAGATTCTCTAAGTATGCAATTTTTATTGCTGCACCACATGCATGCCCAGCGGAAGTTGCTGTTGGTTTATTTCATAAGTTTGTGGTGAAATATTTTAGCTTGCCCGAAGATATTGTTAGTGATCGTGACACCAGATTTACGGGAAGGTTCTGGACAGTGCTATTTGGCTTGATAGGTTCTGAACTGAAGTTCTCCACAGCAAACCATCCTCAGACTGACGGACAAACTGAAAGGATGAACCAGTTATTGGAAGAATATCTGAGGCACTATGTCACTGCAAGTCAGAAAAATTGGTTGGAGTTGCTAGACACTGCACAATTGTCTTATAATTTGCACAGGTCTTCAGCAACAGGAATGAGTCCCTTTGAGTTGGCAACAGGGCAACAACCTCGCACACCACAGGAGGTGGCAGTGCAGAGGACTGGGGGAAGATGCCCTGCAGCATACCGATATGCCCGTTCCATGCAAGAGATGGTGGAAGAGGCACAGGACAGCCTTGCCAAGGCTGTGAGAAGGATGAAAAAGTATGCAGATAAAGGGAGAAGGCCATTAGAGTTCCAAGTGGGAGACAAGGTTCTGTTGAAGTTGACTCCACAGATTTGGAAGAAGATAAGCAGCAAGACTGTTCACAGAGGGCTGATTCAGAAGTATGATGGTCCATTTGAAGTTGTGAAGAAAGTGGGAATGTTGCTTACAGATTACAGTTACCTGAGAGACTGAAGGTCCATCCTACTTTTCATGTGAGTTTCCTTAAGCCTTTTCATGAGGACACTGTAGATACATCAAGACAGCAGGCTAAGAAAGCCCCACCTGTTATTCGGTTGCAGTTTAACAAGGAGGTGGAGAAGATTTTGTCTCACCGGACCCAGGGTCAGAGTAAGAAAAATCACAGAACTGATTACTTGGTACAGTGGAAAGGATGCAGTGAAGCAGAGACGAGTTGGGAAAGGGATGTGACATTATGGCAGTTTGAGAAACAGGTAAGGGAGTACTTGGACAAGTCGACGAGGGCGTCGACTTCTTCTGGTGGGGGTGGTTTGTTAGCCCCTTGACGGTTGTCCAAGGAAGACATGGGCATTTCAAGGACATGCCATGTCTTGGGAATACTTTGGCTTTGGTTAGACAGCCATGAGGATGCTCAGTGGGTTGTCAGCGTGCACAAGATGCTCAGCGTGCACACAGGATGCTTAAAAGGATGCTCGGCGTGCATTGGGGGTGCCCGTGGCACTTTCGTAAATATGGTGAAAAATGAAACTTGGAGTTTTGACTCGGGATCTTTATGGGAGGTACCTTGAGTCCATAGAAGCTGGTTGGCGCAGACGGCACTCAATTTGGATGTCGAGAAAGGCCTGAAAGGCCATTATGACTCCTCAAGCATGGGTGATGTTTACTCTTGTCAGAGTGCTGAATTTCCTTAAGATTATACTAGAGAGGGGTCTGTTAAGCACATCGGTTGGGCTATGGCATGGCTTGCTTAGAGGGCTTAGCCAACTTGCATGGGCACGTGTTGTACCACTCCAAGATGGTTGCACAAATAGGGAGCATCCAAGATATTGAAGGGCAAACAAGTGGGCACCGACACACGCGCTGGTGTGCAGAGGCGCGCGTGCGGGCGTGCGGGTGGGCGCGCGGGCAGGCGTCCAACCTAGTGTGCGCAAGCGTCTAGCTCGGCGTGCGCACGGGCGTCCAGGTGGGCGTACAGCCACGGGCGCATGAGGGTTCAAACATGGCGCGCGAAGAAGGGCACTAGTGTGTGCGCCGGCGTGCACTTTGGTGTGCACCCGAGCGTGCGCACGGGCGTGCATGGCTTGGCACGCCGTGCACTCAGAGACATATATATGTGGGTGCAGATTGGTGGACTTGGCTTGGGCTAGGTTCACAAGGTTGACTCAGATGTGACTAGAGCATAGACAACACAAAGTCATGGCTTGCGGTTACAAGAGGTGGTGGCTAAGTGGGCTCGGTCGGTTGGGAGAAGTTACTAGCACTTCCCACTCATCATGGGAAGTGGGGGAGTGCTGAATAACCTCCCAAGCATGTGGCACAATTCTGAGAGGACCAACACACAGGCGGTTAAGGGTGGTTTCTTCCACTATGCAGAATGTAACTTCTTGTGGTTATGTGGCATGAGCAGAACATGCCAACAAGTCTAGCAGTTGGGCTTGTCAACTGCATTATAGTGCTGGCACATTTGGAGGGTACCAGCATGACCCTAGGTGGATGGGGGTGTCATCCATCATCTTAGTGGGTAGTTATAGGCGGTTTTGAGAGTGGCCTATATAATGCTAAGGTGGGCTTTGTAGAGGGAATAGAGAGGAGGGTGTGAGCTTTGGTTCCTTGTACGAACTCATGTTCCTTTGTAATATGTTTAATATGAGCAAAGGTTTGGGCTTGTCCCTGTAAACTGTGTGTGCATTCTTTACATTTTTATACTGTGTGTATTGTGTTGTTGTGTTGGCTGAGACTTGGTGGCCCTAAGTGCCATTACAGAGGCAAAAATTCGTGGTGTAATTTAGCCCTGTAACACACCATGGTAGTGTAATGTGGGAGGTGTTTCTTGGAGCTTGTAAGTTGAAGGTTGAAGGGTTTTGTTGTCCCTTAAAGTCTGTTCAAGACACGGATTTAGCGAGAGAAGGAGACATTTTCCTTCTTTGAAATTGAAAAAAGAGAAGGAAAATATTTAATTTTCCTCCTTAGAAAACTAATTTGCATTTGAATTTGAATTTCATTAATAATTCAATTCCTCCCATGCATTCTCCTTCCACATGTATTTTGTGTGTGCGCGCGCGCGCTCCCTCTTAACTTTTCTCTGTGACTTGCTTTGCTCAAACTTGATTCTCTCATGAACTTGACAAAAAACATTTCATGAGCGTTAATTTATAAGGACCATTCTAGGTATATGAATGGGTATACCCACTGCTGCCAAAGATAATTAAATTTATATTTATAAGGACCATTCTAGGTATATGAATCTATACCCACGGCTGCCAAAGACGATGACCCAATAAATAATTAAATATATATGTGTGTGTGAATAGGTTCTAAAAAAAATAAAATGCATAATAAAGCTAATAACACTCCATAGACCATATAATCCAAAACTCAACAATCGTAACCATCTGAAAAGAAAATTTAGTTTACAGTAAAAAATTGCATTGATTGCATCCTAGTCAAATAATACTTGTTTCCACAACAAAAACAACAAAAACAAGTTCAAGCAAATACAAACCCACATCATTGCTCTTAACAAAGCTCAAATTCTCAACTTCCGTTTTACATGTAAATATATCTGTTTTGAAATTTTTCAATAAATAAATAAAGGCCATTAGTTCAATGGCTAAGGAAAAGGGGAACATTATAATTCATATAGACACTAGTGATTTAAGAAATCAAAAACAAGTTACAGACTCGATCCCACCAATTGACTAAAAACTTCTTAATGCTTAGCATACACAGTCATACACACATTTATCATTTGATAAGTAGACTGATAAAAAACATAAGAATTATATCCTCGAATTAATGAGGGTAAAATCATGCCTGTTGGAGTTTTCACAAATTTCATGTATAAGAAGCAGCTTATCAAAAGTTCAAATTCTCTCTATACAATTTACTCTAAAAAAAATTAGGGAACCAAAAAACAAAAAAAAAACAACAAAACAATGAAAGAATGAAAAAAAAAAAAAAATCTATTGCAGCCTTTTCTTCATATAAAAACAAATGAGTATATTTATAATGTGTGATGTGTGAAATTCAGACCCTCAAACTCATCTGATCTTGCCATGACATTTCCTTCTTGTCCAATCTTCTTTTGTCATCAATCAATGAGTTTTTATGTTTTTTCTCCACCCGCAATGGCTCTGTAACGGGCTCTGTAACTGTTCTTGTTCTTCTGGAGGGAGGACCTCTCTGAAATACAAATAAAGAAATTAATACAGATATATAACCCAGTATGAGTACAGGTAATCTGAAGGACACGCAAAATATTTCTTTTATTTTATTTGTAGAATAAAGTAACGTTTTATTATAGCATAGTGTTCAATATAGGCATTTAACTTGCTTATAAATAAAAAATTTGATAATTTGATATACCATACTTCAGATGCATATGTATGTCCAAGCAATATGTGTTTGACACGGGTACTTCACTACTTTGAACGTTTCATGTAACATAGGGTCCAACTACTTGGGAATTAAACTCTTTTTGTTAACATTCATCCCTGGATTGTTTATACCACACACATTATGTAAAAGTTTCAAATTGAAACCACTCCAGAACTGACAAACCAAAACATGCACCAAACCAAAGGACATATTTGCTGAAATCCAAAGTCCTCTTTCTAAATGTATGTGCATATATATATATATATATATTTCAGTTTAATATACTTACTGAATTTGGATTTGAAACCAAAATTGGATGTGGATTTCCCAGTGCAGCTTCATTGACACTGTAATTCCTTACCCTTTCAAGCATTTTTCTCTCCATGTCTGATTCTTGTGGTTGAACATTCTTTTCCACTCCAAGTTTCGAAGACCTGATCCTTAATAAATATTTACGCCTTCGTCTCAAGAATCTGAAATTCAGCCAAAAACAAATTCCCCAATATCAATCTTCTCTTAATTTTATAGTTTATATATATATATATATATATATATATATATATATATATATATATATATCATTTAAATTAAAAAGACAAGAATTTGTACCGGATTTCCCCCAAAAGGGTGTCTTTCTTTTGCTTTGTTGCCTGAAATTTCCTCTTCTTTGAAACAAATTCCTATTTTAGATTTATTTACAACCATCAGTAGAGAATGGGTTCGGTAAACCTTAATTGAATCTCAAAACTCTCATTTTGTTGGGTTACAAGCAATTACAGTATATAATCCAATTTGGTAAACCCAATTAAAACTCAAAAATCAAAGAAATTCTAGAACTTTAAACCATATATATCTATCTATTCAATCGAAAAAGATGGAAAGCAATCCCAATAATACATAAAAGATATAAAATCTATAAACCCTAGATTTCTGATAAGACGAGAGCAATTAACTTAGAGAAAAAAAGAACTAACCTTTTGCAATTCCAGATACTCTTGCAACAGGGTTTGATATTTTAGTTTAGCCCTATCTTCAACATCAACCGCCCGATGAGATTGAGGAATCGAATTTACAGGAGCCCGTTTCATCTTTAATATCTCATATTATTCAACACCAGAACTTCCAGATCGGAATCAATTATAGAGAGAATGATTAGAGAGAGATGAGCACATATATATATATATATATATATATATATGGAAGTAGTAATTGTAGAGAGAGAAAGAGAAGGGGTGTTCGGGAATCCTGTGTGTTTCTCTCTCTTGAAGGCTTGAATATGAGAAACCGAAATAACCACAATAGATTGGGAGTATGTATGTGTAATGGAATATAGGTAAGGGGGTGGCAAAGGGGGAGAGAGAGAGAATGAGAGAGGGGTATTTGTGGGAAGTATATGGTTGGAGGACATTAGAAGACATCTTTCCCATCTATCTTCCATCTTTCTTTTTTTTGTTTTTCTCCTACTACTACTACTACATAAATTTTGGTCCAGCTGGGCCATTAGAGATAGATAAAGAGTTTTAGAGAGAGAAGGAGATAATAGTTACATATAGAGAGAGAAAGCAAGGGCAAGGACTCCTTTGTTTCTTGTATTTCATTCTTGGAAGGTTTGGATTTTTTTGCTAGAGAGAGAGAGAGAGGTTAGATGGTGCAGAAAAGCAGGAGATAAATGGCTACTGTTTGCTCATGGGTTTCCTTTCATTTGTAGCTGTGAAACCTTAAAACATTGACTTGGCATGGTGGTTTTATATGGGTTAGGGATCTCTATCCTTTTACAATTTTAGGCTTCAATTTTGTCAAAATTACCCAAACATAATTGAACAGGTCAACACCAGGCTCAATTAATGGTTTTGTTTTATTCATAATGCATTTTTTTTTGGTTATCTGATTGTCAAAGTTTCAAACCTAATTCTTCGGCATTTATTTTTTTTTTTTAATTTTTTTTTATTATTATTTTTTTTTAAGAATGGCAAAGTAGATAGTAAATACTAAATACACACACCATTATTTAAAAAAAAAATTTCAATAGAGAAGTTATAGGTCGGTTTGGTTTGTAATTATTAAAATTCTCAAAAAATTAAAAATAAAAAATTATACAAAAAAAAAAAAAAAAATCTACTTGATTCAATTTTCTGAAAACTTAGTTATAAAAATATTTAATTTCAGATAATTATAAAAAATTGTTCATGGACAACAGTTTTTTATTTTCTAAATTATTCAATTAAATACTTTTTGGTATTTCTTGTTCTTCAAAAAAATTTTTTTTTTCCTTTTCACTTTTGTTCTAATGCATTTTGCATATTTTTTTTTTTTTTTTAATTTTAACTAAATTATGCATCACAAACTATATCGAATTCCTTACTATACATCTTTTATTATTTCACCTAAAATTACTGCATAGGTGAATGAGGAATACCTGATTTAGATTATTTATTTAGTTTTGACTTTTTTTGGAAAAATATTTAGTTTCTCCATATATGGTACATACTTTAGTGTTTTACTAGTATAGATATCATGAATAAATCTTTAACCCTTTTGAAAAACTCCTCTTTGCAAGACCCACGTTATATCCTCACACTTTTTCGCATATGCCTTCTTTAAACCTATCAAAATTGAATACAAATTATTTTGTTTACTTCTAAAGTTTTTCTATTAATGTTTGAAGTAAACAAATGGGGTCCATTGTAGATCTCTTGGGCATAAATTGAAATTAAATTTCTAACAATGTGATTTCATTCTTCAGTCTTTGTTTATTAACAATTTTTTATAATTTTATAGTATATTTAGGATTGCAAATGAACAAGTCGAGCTAAGTTTGAATTTATTTGAGTTCGGTTCATTCACATGTGATGTTGACGAGTTCAAAAATTGAGTCCGGACTTAACTCTTCATTATTTTGAAAAATTTAAACTCAACTCATTTAATAATAAAAGTTTATTTAAATTCAAATCAAGGTCAGTTTGTATGGAGTCTTTTGACTTCTTGGTGATCTTATATGAATCTAAATAAATCTATATTCATTAACAAGTTCATAATCTTACATTCATCAACATCTACAAATTTATGTTTATGTACATTTTCATGGTTGTATAAACAGCCAATCTAATATAAACAAGGATTGACTCGTTTGCTAAACTCGAACTCGAACTCGGGCTGGGCTTGTCTGTCCTAATTAGTAATTAGCTGTAGGAAATAGGGAACCTTGTGCTAGTCCACCAGTCCCTGTCCCTACGAAATTGATGTGGCAAAGGCTGTAAATCACCCAATTGCCGCCAGAACCCAAAAGCCCTAAAACTAACCCCAACAGCGGCTCATGCTATCAGGTTTAAAGTAACCCCTCAAAGAGAGGGAGAGAGAGAGAGAGAGTGTTTTGATTGATCGTGATTTTAAGTGTGCAGGAGAATAGTATAATGGAAAGTGGAACCGGGAAAGAGAGGAGCGTAGTAGCAGAATCGGTAATGGAGGCAGTGAAGAGAACATCAAACAACGTTGAAGAAGTCAGAGCTCAGTTTCTCCAGTTTTTATCACTATGCAACGTCCAAGTACTCGCCGAAATGCCTCCTCTACAACGGGCTGAATCTCTTCTCTTGCTCGCCAAAGCCACTACAGCCCTCTTCACACGTACGTAAAGCCCTCCCTCAACACTCTATTATATCATTCTCAATTTGTATTTCATTCGACTTCAATTGATTTGATTTTTCCAGTGAGGTTGAGATGTAACGGCGTTCACCCAGATGACCATCCTGTCAAAACAGAGCTTGTATGTTGCCTTGCACTCCATTTTTTTCCTTTAGCTTTTCGGATTTTAATCATGTGACAGCCTCTTTTTTGAGGTTTTAATTAATGGGTCCTTCTTTAATTCATTTATTTTGGTGTTTTGATTAATGGGTCCTGCTTTAATTCTTTTATTTTGAGGTTTTTTATTCTGGTTTTTGATTAATTTTGCTTTTGGGTATTCCTTCAATTGGGTATTTCATGTTCAAGCTTTCAATTAGGGCATTGCTTAATTTTAATGTTTGTTGTACGCGTAGGAGAGATTAAGCTTGTACCGAGACAAATTGGAGCGGTTCATTGATTTGAGTAAAGGTAATTGTGATTCCGTCGATTTATTTGATTTGTATACTGTGGAACTGAAAATAGAATCAAATTTCAAATCTTACATTGGATGTTGTTTTGGTTTCTGTAAACTGGCCTCAACTAAGCAAACATATTATTTCTGCATTAAGCTTATTTTAATGGATTTCTTCTTATTCGTTTTTCTAATCCCAATTGATGGAATATCAAATATGCAAAATTTAATTTCTTATCACTTCCAAGTTCCAACAATTTCTCAGCAATATAGTCCTCATTTTGAGTGCTCATTTCCAACGACGCGGTGATGGCACTTTCGAAATTGATGGAACAAACATTTTCCCTTCTTTTAGGTTATTATTATTTGCATTTATCATGTACTAAATGACTTAGTGGTAATTGATTTCCCATTGTTGATTACAAAATTTCTTAAATGTCCTTGAAGCTCCGCTGCGACCTTCGACTACCTTAAATCGCCAGGCAGCAACCCGTTTTATTGAGCATTCTTTGCCAGATCTTACCCTGGGTAAGAAGCAATCACTTCTTTCTTGTGAATATGACTTTCTCTTCCATTTGATCTTGTTTTGTTAAAAATAAGCTAAAAATCTGCAGAGCAGAAGCAAAATATGAGGAATGTCAGTAGAAGAGAGGGAGTAAAGATTAAGTATTCAGAGAGAAGTGTCCACAAGAAGAGGAAATATCAGTCATCTGAGAAACAATCAGTTCGAACTGCTGCTCAGGAATTTCTTGAGAAAGCAGCACGCGAGCTTCTTGGTGATAAGAATGGTCGTTTTAAGGGACCTCTACAGCCTCAGGATTCAGATGAAGATGACATGCCCATTGTCTGATTCTCTGGTAAGTTCACAGCCACATTGACATCGCGATGATTTTCTACCACCAATGTCTTTAAAGGTTTAAAAAATATTATCTAGTTGCTCATGCCTTGGTGTTCAGTGAAGCATCATGTTTGGATAAATTTTTTCTTGTTTTATCATATGTGTACCTTTTGTATTCTTATTGTCAATGTTGTTGCTATGTCCATATACTAGATGGAGCAACAGTGTTTCACACTCATACTCATTAGGTGTTCTAAATGTTGAAGTTTAACTTTCTTTTTTATTTGTTGGGGAAAGACCATAATACGTCAAGTGACATTGTAACATGCTACGAGGTGTAAGTACTTATGGAGGCTTGATGTAGATAATGAGGGATATGATGGGCATAACCATGATATTCCATAATCATATTCCTTTATACATGGAAATGGAAGGATCCTGTCTTGTTAGGTTAGTACGTTAAACTTTTTGAAAAACTTACCTCAGTTGGACATGTAATACAATATAGTTACATTGCATAGAATTGGAAACCATATCATCTAGCATGCATTATTCTATTATTAGATTTAGGAGTTGGTTCTATTAGGGAGGTACCGCATGTAAGATAATTGCCAAAATGTATATTTGTACTTAATTCATTTTCTTATACTCCCCCTGTCCCATATTAGTTGTTCATTTGTCTCTCTTTTATGACATGCAACTAATGCATTGTCCCTTTTTAAAATTACTAAGTTGTCCTTTTAAGTTTAAACATATGTATTACCAAGTTGGAAGTTTTTTGAAAATTTAAAAGGTAATTATGGAAATATAATATTTATTTTGTTTTGACTTTTCAAATGAGACAACTAATTTGGGCCATCCCAAAAAGGTAAGAGTGACTACTAATATGGGACGGAGAGGGTGTAAAATATTGTATTTTGTTGTAGTTTAATGGAGATGATATGGATTTTATAGAATTTAGACCTCTTTTTGAAGAATGGATACTCAATTTGAATGTATGTTCTGATTGTTTTCTAGAATTTCACAAATTTTCAATTCTAAGTTTCAGTTTCTGTTGTATCTCTAATCGAATGTATATTTTAAGCACCTTGTGCTTGTAGGCCAATGGTATTTTGAGGACCTTTCTCGATGGAAAGTGGGGGTCCAAACCCTGTAAATATGTTTATTTTTAATATAATGATGTATGAATGTTCTTAATATCACCAAAACAACAACAACAACAACAATAACAATTAAGCCTTTTCCCAATTACTTGAGGTCGGCTATATGAATCCTATGTTTTAATTTCATTCTATTTAAGGCCATAGCCTTGGTCAATTGACTCAATTCAGATGCTATCATATCTTTTTTTACTTTAACTTTGGTCTTCCTCTTTCCCTAGTATTACTCTCAGTGTGGACTGTCACTTCTCCTAACCAACGCACTTAAAGAGGTCTTCTTTGCATTATGTCCAAACCATCTTAACCAAATTTCTCTAATTTTATTTCCAATTGGTGCTACACCATCTCCCAAATATAATCATTTCTAATTCTATCATTTCTAGTCTTACCGCACATCCATCTCAACATTCGCATTTCTGCCACACTTTATGCAAATGTTGTTTCCTAACTGCCCAACATTCGGTATGGCCGATCTAATGCACTCCTCCATTTAACCGATCTTGCCTTGATGAGTTGATTCTATGATTAACGTAATCTCCAATTTCTCCCTCATTGAGCCTAAATAATGAAAATGTTCACTTTTTTTGTACCTTTTGATTCCCAATCTTCACTACATCCTCATTTGTCTTTCTAGATTTACTAAAGCTACACTCCATATATTCAGTTTTATTTCGACTTATCTTAAATCCTTTTAGTTCAAAGCTTTTCTCCAAACCTGCCATTTGGCATTAACTCCTCTAGTCTCATCAATTAAAACAATATCAGCGACAAATAACATACACCACGAAATCTCATATTGTATGTGCCTTGTCAGCTCATCCATAACCAAGGCAAAAAATTATGGACTTAATGCTAACCCTTGGTGCAAGGCTACAGTAATTTAGAATTCTTTTGTTACCCTTACAGGCGATCGAACTATAGTCACACAACCATCATGCATGCTCTTTATTGTGTATATGTATCCCTTTGTGACTCCTTTCTTTTCTAAAACCTTCCATATTAGATCTGTAGGTACCCTATTATAGGATTTCTCCAAATTAATAAATACCATATGGAGATCTCTCTACTTCCCTATATATCTTTCCACTAGTCTCCTGAATAAGTAAATAGTATCCATTGCTAACCTATTTTACATGAATCCATTGATTCCCTGACACTTCGGTCTCTCATCTTAGGCGTTGTTCAATCACTCTCTCGCGGATGTTTCATAGTATCTCATTAATTTAATATCACGCTAATTATTACAACTTTGTACATCCTTTTTATTTTTATATATAGGTACTCGAATACTTTGGCGCCACTCATCCGACATCCTCTTAGTTGTTATTATCTTATTAAACAGTTTTGTTAACCAAGACAAGCCAACTTCTCCTAGACACTTCCACACCTCAATTGGAATGCCATCGGGCCCTAAAGTGCTTCCCATTTTCATTTTTCTTAAGGCATTCCTAACCTTCCACTCCTTGACCTTATAGAAAAATATGTTATCTCTAACATATTCTTCTAAGCTTAGACTTCCTATATGGTTTTCATTTAGCAATTTCTCAAAATAACTTTTCCATTTGTCTTTAATGTTATCATCTTTTACTAAAACTTGTGAATGTTCACTCTAAATACATTTAATATGGCTAAAATCTCTATTGTTTCTCTCCCTTAGCTTAGTAAGTTTATAAATATTCTTTTCCCCATCTTTTGGCCTAGTTTAGAATAGAAATCGTCATATGGTCTATGTTTTGCCTCACTAGCTACTTTCTTAACTTCTTTATTTATTTTTTATATTTGTCAAAGATTTCACTCTTTTTAGTTTTTTTTGCCAAACTTTATAGCATTCCCGTTTTGTTTTTATGAATTTTTGGACTCACCAAGTTTCTTTAAATAATGGTCCCGACCCTTTTGATTCTCCTAGGACTTCTTTTGCTACTCCTTTTTAATATATATAGTCATCTTATTCCACATTAAGTTTTTTCATCTTCTACATTCCCTGTTGCTTCTTTTAACATCTTATTTTTAAATAATTCTACTTTCTACCCTCTTAAATTCCACCGGCTAGTCCTTGGGTTTATGGTTCTCTTTCTCCTTTTAGGTTGTCCTTTTATTCATACAACTAAAACAAGAAGCTTATTTAGTGATGCTAGATCTTCGGGAATAACCTTACAATCTTTAATTTTTAATCTATCTACCTTTCTAATTAAAAAAAGTAATCAATTTGACTCATGTTTGATCCATTTTTAAAGGTCATTAAGTTTTCATCTCTCTTTGTAGAATAGGTATTCCTAATTATATAAGATTATATGCTACTGCAAAATCTAAGATAGTCTCCTCGACACCATTTCTATCTCCAAATCCATGTCCACCGTGTACCATCTCATATCCTCCACAGTCCACACTCTTTTCCTACATGACCATTAAAATATCCTCCTATATGCACTTTTTCTCCTTCTGTCTATTCCTTGCATCAATTTGTCCATATGTTCCCAAAATTATAATTTTAATATTGTCAGCTAGTCTTACTTGGGGTGCACACGTGCTGACTATATTAACTATATTTCCTCCTAATACGAGTTTTACAAATATTGTCTTATCTTCTTTTCTAATAACGGTTATCATATCTTCTTTTAAATTCTTATCAATGATTATCCCTACTCCATATTTATGTTTATTCTTTCCAGTATAACATAATTTATATCCTTCAATCTCTCTAGCTTTTGCATCTACCCACTTAGTTTCTTGTAAGCATAAAATATTAATCTTAAATCTAATCATAGAGTCTATTAAATTAATTCCTTTATCCGTCAAGGTTCCTACGTTCCAAGTCGCTATTTTAAGCCTACTATCCTGGGCTAACTTCTTTACCTGATCTCGTCCACAAAAATGTGGGAACCCTTTCCTACTTTTTACCGCACCTTGGCACCGATGTGGCGCCCATTGCCCATTTTTCGAAGCATCCGGAAGCTGATGCAACGTTTCTTTTAAGGGGAACGCGTTGCTAAGATGGTTTCTGGTTTTCGTAAATGAACATGCATATATTAGTCTGTGTTATGGTCACTATAACTGGGGATGGAAAATGACCAAGTATGGCAATGATTGGCATTCTAGGGAATTCAATGGCAGATTTTATTTATTTATTTATTTACTTTTTTTTGTTCATGTGGGTCTTTGACCGCCTTAGTTATCTAAAAGGCAGAGGCAATCCTAATTGTGTTTACATTCGCATAACTTATGCATACTGTAGCTATCATATTTGGTTATTAGTACATTATTGTTTCAATAAGCTAATTGTAATTCTCTAAGACTATGTACAAAAAGCTGAATGGTTGAACTGGGTCTACATGTCATATTTTGAATTTGAGAAAACTATCGTGGTTCTTTGATGTCACACTCCTGTTCAAATGATTAAATACAAATGACTAAGAATACAAGCTTAGGTGTGAGTATCTTTATGAGTACTCCTAAATTTTGCTAGACCTACATTTCTTGTTGTAACTTCAAAATAACTACCTATGCCTCCATGTCTAATCTAATATTTTCCTTCCTAGAACAATTGAGTGATCTTACCTAACGATGTAGATACTTGCACTGAAACTTTTCTAAAAATGCCACATAAATGGTTTTTTTGGGAGTGAATGATATGGAAGCATGCACGTTATTGCTATGATGATGCGTCCTATGAATATTAATTTTATACAAAATATTATGTTTTTAAACCCAACCTACTTTATTTATATTTTTTTTTTAAATAATGGATATTCAACCTGAATGTATGTTTTCTAGATTTTTCAATTTTTAAGTCCTATATTTTAGACTTTTAGCTCCTCGTGTATTTATAATTGAATGTAAATTGTTAGCACCTTCTGTTTGTAGACCGGTAGTATTTAGATGACCTTTCTAGGCAAAAGATGGGGGATTCAAACCCTGTCATTTTTCAATATAATGATATGTGAATGTTCTTAATAGTTAATATAACCGAAAGAATAAATAAAAAACAAGTAAATTGCTACTGCTGGTCGCAATGCCAGAAGACAAGTGGATGACTGAAATACCCTGGCTCGCTTGATTCCGTGCTCTGTTGATGTTTGGTGATTTTAGATGTTTTTTGGTTTCAGTTAATTAACATTTATATTAGTTAGCCTCTTTGATGGTCACTACAGCTGAAGATGGAAATGACCAAGTACGGTGATAAATGACATTCTAGGCAATCCAATGTCATGTTGTTGCTGAAAACTTTAGCAGAACTGTCTTTTCTATAATTTGAGACCTGAGTGTTTTACTAATATATACAAGTTGAGACCTGGGTGTGTTAATGACACTAACGATGCATAATCAGTCCTTCCAGTTTCCATTAACCTTGAAAATTATATCAATTGATTTTGTGTTGCGCCGAGTCCTTCTATTTAAGAAGCTTCTAATTATTACCTTATGCTTTCTGACATTTTTCTGTGTGTTCCCGCAGGTCACACAGGGCAGGCATATATGGTGGTGTTAGCCAATTTTTTTATGGAATGGTATGCACCTATTTTGTTTTCTTATATTGCGGTTTGCCTTTTCCCTGTGGTTCACAAAAGGCTTTTATTGATTTTCTACTTTCTGCTATATGGATTCTTCTTTTGTTTTCCCCTCGGAGAAATGGTGTAATATGCGCGTGTTTGCTGCAGTACCTTTTTGAAATAGATGTTTGTTTTGTAAGGCGTTTTCAGGCAATTTCATTTATGATATTTTTTTGTTGATTCATTTTTGAAATCGAATTCACTTGTTGAATTCATGTTTTGATTTTTATAAAATGTTATTTTGCAGATCAAAAGCTTCAAAAATTATTAGTTGAGCCAAAAAATGTCGGTGTTTGTAAAAAAAAAAAAAAAGAAAAAAAAAAGGGCACTTTCATAATTTTGAAAATTAACGTTTAAAAGACCTGAAACAGTGTGTTGATTATTTATAAAAAAATAAGTTATGAAAAATTATTGTGTCTCATAGCCCTGGGAATGTTTTGCAAAATTTGGATTCATATAAGTGTTTTTTTACTTTAATTTTAAGATTTTGTTTGTATGAAAAAGAAGAAGATATTTTTGTTTGTATTAAAAAAAAAAAAGAGACCACATATATATACATGTGTTACATGTATGAAAAATAAGTTTGTTGATTATTTATGAAAAATTATTGTCTCCTCCTACCCCCGCGAATGTTTTGCAAAATTTGGATTCAGATAAGTGTTTTTTTTACTTTAATTTTAGATTTTGTTTGTATTGAAAAAGAAGATATTTTTGTTTGTATTGAAAATAAAAGAGACCACACACATATATATGTATATATTTATGTTTATATGTTTGTGTAACCACTAACCAGGCTCCTAAAATCTTATGGTAAGTCGGGATTCATAGGTTGTTTTGTTCTGGAAAAGCAAAGACCGATGCCAATATAAAGGGTAAAACATTGAAGTTCTAATGAGAGTTGAGATGTAAATAAATAAATAAATTAATGGAATATATTAATATCTGTAGTGACAATCCACATACATAGAAAATCAAATAATTCCCCCAAAAGTAGACCCTAAACCAAAGTATAATCAACCCTCACCATCAGTATAATCAAATGAATCAATCAAATTAACCAAACCCCACCCCTTCAAAACCCAAAAACCCTCATTAAAACAAGCCATCCCACCAAGACCATCATCAAACTGCCCTGTAAACTTGAAGCACCGCTTGTGGGGGCGACTGCCGGTCCGTCAAACTCCACCGGAGATGGTGCCGGAGAAATAGCAGTGAAGAGCCTCTTGTGCGTTGCAGACATGACCACCACTATCAGCTTCTGGCCTTTCTCGCAGTTTCCTGCTGCTCCACTGATGAAATAGTAAGGCCCGGATTGGTCGAGCGTCACCTTGGTGTTCCCATCCTTGTACTCTTCAATGGGGCTTGAAGTATTGCAGGTAGCATAACCTCTCTTTGTTACTTGCAACACTGAGTCTTTCTCACTGTCATACTTCCACACTGGTTCATCCAGCAAAACATGAAAAAGCTTTAGTTAGAGAGAGAGGAATTTGACAGAAACCCAATACCATATATGGATGAATACACACGACTATATATATATATATATATATATGCAGGAAAAAGAGGGATGGGATTTGAGCTTACCAAGAGAATCTCCGACGAGGAAGCGAGAATTTTCAGCCCATTTGTTGAGGGAATCGGATTGAGAAGATGGGACCTTCCATGCCTCAGTTTTGCCTCCAACCAAGTGGTCTCTAGCTTCTGAGAAGCTGATGAAGAGAAGAAGTGAGAGAACCAGTGTGGATACTAGAGCTCTTGAAGAAGAAGCCATCGATGGACAGACTGTTTGAGCTTAAAAAACAGAGTTCTTAAGCAAATCTACAGAGAGGGAGAGAGAGATGATTTTCAAGAAGGGGTAGTGATGGAGTTGGGAGTGTTTCCATCCATATATATAGAGGGGCAGGGACAGGATGATGAACTAGCCGTTGGGAAAAGGCTGTGAGAGGTAACTGTTGGTGGGCCAGGCAATGAATGTTTTTGGTGTTCGAGACTTGCCCTGGTTTTGTCTGTTACCGCAACGGTAACTTCGGAAACGACCCTTTTATACAGAAAAGGAAATAAATAAATAAAAGAACTTTGTAAATGTCCATCTCCCTATTTTTTTGTTTTATGCTTATAAAAAAAAAATACTTCTAAGTTAACCCAAAATAATAATAATAATAATAATAAATGGTATTAAAATGCTACCGTTGCCAATTTAGCGTGTCTCATCTATATGGGTAAGGCCCCCAAGGGTGTGAGGTCTCCATCGAAAGAAATGAGATTATCGCGAATACAACATATAACACACTAATCGGGGTTATGGATGAGTTTAAGAAAGAAAAAAAAAACGTTAAAAATTCACAAGGTTCTGAGTTTGCCTCGACTTTGATGTAGGGTATCCAAAACCGAGTTTGGAAAATCTACATATATATATATATATATTCATTAGTGGGACGGGATTGGGAAAGGAATTCTCTCGAACCCGTCACGTTGGCATTCCTAATCATGAGGTCAACCTAGTGACAGTTGTTATGAGCTCTTTGTGGTGACATCTAACTATTTGAAAGATAATTGTACGAAGATTACTTAATCAAAATTTCATACCAAAATTTATTTATACACACTATTTTATTCTATTTTTTTAATTCATTTGAGCAAAATATACTATCAACTTTTGTCTGCTATAAGTTTATTTTTTGAGATGAGAATTTATGTATAAAAACTGGGGACTGATAATGTGATAAATCCATGTATTGTTGTAACGCCAATTGTGTGACAGGTATGGGCGTCGAGTCATTCACATTGCCGACACTTTTAGACCATTGTTCGGAGCTCTTTTAGAAATTAGATTTAGTGAATATTAAATTGATGTCACTCTAAAAATGAATTTTAAAAAATAGTTATTTTAACAAAATATAATAAAAATACAAATAAAACTTAAACAAATTGCTAAATTGTATATAACTATCGATATGACAAATTTTAGAAGTATCATTATAATTAACTCAATTTTAATAGTAAAAATTTAAGTTTATATCATCAATTCATGATTCACTGTATCATCTAATATGCCACATATAAATTAATTTACAATGACTCTATCCAACGTAACTGATAATGTAAACCATGATCACCATTTATCACCGAAGTCATGGAAAAAGGTGTTGGTGGGAGGTTAGAGTTTCCAAGCAGAAGACACTTGTTGCCCACACAGGACATGCAGCTGCCACGTATCCAACCCACGTTACCTACATAACTCGAAACGTGGCTGTTAGTCTGTTACCCATCTCATCTTCCATTCTTATTATTTTTCTTGAGAGAGAGAGAGAGAGAGACAGAAAGAAGTTGATTGAGAGAATTTTTAGGAAAAAAAAAAAAAAAAAAAAAAAAAAAACAGAGAGAATGAGGACGGAAGAAGTGAAGAAGGCAGGAGTGGAGGCATCCAAGAGGCCACCACCGGGGCATAGCCCAGGTGAGGTACTCCACCAGCGCCGCAACTTACCCATCAGCCCTTACACGATGGCTCTAGGCGGCTTTCTCTTCGCCGCCACCATCGGTTACTTGACCCTCTATGCCAAGAAAAAGCCCGAAGCCTCTGCCGTAGACGTAGCCAAAGTCGCCACCGGCACTGCTCAACCCGAAGACACCCGTCCCAGCAAGTAGATGCATATCTCTTTCCATTTTCCAAAAATGTGCTGCAGCAGCTGCTGCTCTTTGAGCAATATCTATCGTTCAAGCACTAACTATGTTCTTTGACGTTTTATATTTATGTGGTTTATTTGGTTAATCAGTAACACTTTTAAAAGCCCTTTTTATTTTATTTTATTTTATTTTTTGTCCTAACGATCGAAGGAGTTATATATAGTAATATGTATTGGTATATATACGTATATACGGATTGTGAGATTAAAATTAGAAAAGGTAAATAGTGTGATTGCCAATCCAACCTAGCTTGGACCCATTGACATTTCTGTTTGAGAATAAGCATTAGACAGTGTGGAAGTATCAAAGATGAGTTTTAATGAATGGGGATGAGAAATTTGGTGTAGAACTTTTATTTATTTTTTTCTTTTTTAATTTTGGTCACTAAAATTTAATTATCCCTATTTTTTATGTAAAATGCAAGCAAGTGAAGTTGAAATATGATTATTTGTTTTTAGGGAAATATAGAAGTGGGACGTGGACCAGTTTTTCAAAGCCATGAATAAATTTTGCGGGCCTAGAATGTGAACCCAACAAGCTCAGACCACAGCTAGGACTCTGCTTTGTCTATATTGAACTAGTTGAAGTAGTGAGTCCAGTCCACTCCAGCACACAATTCAACCCCCCAAAAAATATATGTACTACTCTTTTGTTTGACAGGTAAAAAGGTAATTGTCTATATAAGAGTCAACTTAGAAGGGCCAGTTTTCTCAGGCCCAAAAGGAGGAGGGCATCAGCCCAAGTTTTATAATTTTGGATGGTGAGAAATTATCACTAACCCCCACCTTGGTAGGACACGTTTATGTCCATTTAGATTGAATGATTGGGAGAGAAAAAATAAATAAATAATATGAATTGGAAGAGATTTGTAGGGATGGTTTTCTCTTTAAATTTCTTTAAACAATGTGAAGATTTGGAGTGAAGATTTGGAGAGAGAGGATGATGGATAATTAATACTTTTATAATTTCAAAATTACCATCAACAATTAAAAAATAAACATGTTAGTGTTATTTTTCTTTTTTTCAAACAAGAATACTATTTTTTTTGTCTTTCCTTCATAATTTATTTAAACATAAATATAATTTATTATTATCCTTCCTTTTCCCGAGTTATAATTGAAAAACAAACTCACTTATCATGTAGTTCGTGTTGAAGCCCTGTCAAACTCACTTAAGCCCTGTCAAACTCACTTATTGTGTAGTGTTCAAAAAGTAATAGTACATAAATTACATTATCAAGTAGTCAATATTAAAGTAATATGGTCGATGTGAAAAATAAGTTCAAAACATAGAAATAAAATAATAGTTTCATTAGAAGTCAAAATAAAGAAAATATACCTCAATAAGTGTGCACAATGAAGATATATAAGAAAATAATTACTCCAAAAATCTACTGCTTTAAATTTGAAGCCTTGGTCCGTGACATTGATCAAGAAGTAATGAAAGTATACGGACAAAGGTGTTGATGAGTGTTTCGAAGGAGTTCTACGACACTACTTGTCACCAATACATAACATGCAGCTACCACGTATCCAACCCGTGGCAATTATCCTTCTTATTCATTCTTATATTTCTTCACACACACACACACACACACGTACGGGGTAGAGAGGTGTTAGTGTTTGACAGACGTAAACAACACAAGATGAGTCCAGAGGACGCGAAGAAGGCAGGAGAGGAGGCATCGAAGAGGTCAGGCATCCAGCGGCGCAACTTGCCTTTCAGCCCTTACACCATGGCTGTCGGTGGCCTTCTCATCGCCGCCGCCACCATCGGTTACTACACTTTTTATGCTAAGAAAAAGCCCCAATCCTCTGCCCGAGATGCTGCCGCCAAACCCACTACCCAATCCGAAGACACCCGTCCCCGCAAGTAGCTCTATATATATATATATATAAAAATTAGTGGTATGGTTGTTTTTTTATATATGCAGTTAAATTAATAAGTAGTATTGTTTTTTTCATGTATTCAATGACTTGGGGATTTTTAAACAATTGTTGCACATATCACGTACATATGTGTGTTGCTGGGGGCTCTACCAACAACCAACTACTTGTGATTGCTTACATGAGTCAATCCTATGTTTTTGTTCTATGATATACTTAGTATTTATTAGTCACAGAATTCTTAATAAAAATCAAATGGTGTAACCTCACTACAGTTTGGGGTTGGGAGGGGTTCGAGCTCAGCGTGGATTGTGTTATGTGTGAGCAGTGTGTAGTAAATACGTACCTGGTTCCTAATAAAAAAATTAAAAAGATTTTCTTGGCGTTTTAGTAAAAGTAAACGTACAGGTTCAGCCCATAATTAAATTTTGTGGGGCTATAATGTGAACCCAATTTTACAAGCTCAGTCCAGCCTTATCAGCTCCAGCTCCGCTCATAACTAGTGTTTGGGTGAGTCCCGTCCAGCTTAGACCTACTAGTATTTGTAAGAGAACAACTGTACAAGGCCCAAGGGAGGGAGGTCATCACATAACAACAGGCATTAAGCCCAAGCCCAAATTATTTACTCTTCGTTTTTTTTTTTTTTTTTCGTAAGTAACCGGGTATCTTTTGCCCCAACCAAATTCCCAGATACCGGGTTTAGTTCTCCCATTCGCGTCGAAAGAATTGTTTGCATTTTTTAGTTTGGGCTTTTCACCAATGTGCGTGGACCCAAAAGATTGTTTGGAATTAAATTTTAAATTTTAAACTTGATGCTTTATAAGACACCGAACGTAATGTTTACCGGTCATGTATCACTAGAGCTAGGTTAATTATTATTGACTAACTCTTATGGTCAATTATCTACTCTTTTTTGCCCCTAATTAATGTAACTTTAATATTCAAGGAATGAAAGGGAAATGAATCAGACCACATGCAACAAGGATATGCATCTCTCTCTTTATATATATATATATATATATATACACACACATGTATGTAAGTGTATATAAATATAGATATAGATATAGGGCTTTAGGGGCAAAGGTTTAAAACAAAGATGGGGCAAGTAGTAGGTACAATGATGTGAAACTTTAAGAACATAAAACCTGGAGAGAATCTGTATTTGTATTGGGAATCACTGAAATGTGGACTTAATATTTGGGAATACACAACGAGGATGAGATAGATAAAGGTAACCAACCAACCATATAAATTGGCGCCCCACCTATGAATCAAGGTCTCACCTCCCAACCATCATCAATTTGGGACCCCAATTTACCATCATTAATTTATGATGGTTCATGCCCACGCCTATTTTTCACCAATAATTGCCTCTTTAGACCCACACTTTTTACTCCATTTTATTAATAAGTGCCTCTTACTTACTTTCATTTTATTTTACCCACTATTACTATCCATGTGCTGTGCGGCGCACACAGGTTCAATCTATGTTTTTTTAGTTTATTAATTTGTTGGATTTGTGGATACGGCCAATGTTGGACATGTCTCGGACACAGTCAAATATAAATTGGAAATTTTATTTTTTCAGTTGAACAAGGTTGGAATACAACAACAGTACCTTTTGGACATTTTTAGAATAGATTGGGGTGGTTTTGTAATTTTATTTTTAGAAGAATGAGATTCCATACAATTTAATATATATTTTGGGTTAATTAAAAAAATAATATAAAATTTAAGTAAAAAAAAAACAAACAAATATCTAGTTCTAAATTTCAAATTATTGATTTTATTCATAATTATATGGATAAATGAGCAAACTAAATATTATATATATTATTTTTTGACATTTACATGTCATGCTCGTATCTTATTTTTTTAAAAAATTTGTAATATTGTAGTAATTGTGTCCCTTATTATACTAATCTTTATTGTCAATCATGTTCAACCGTATGTACATATGCACCGTGTAACAGACGCATCCAACCTTTCATACATTATATATATAATATACGCGTGAATATATATATTACATGAACGGTTCAAATACGTCGATGCAACCAACGCAATAAATTTTTTCTCATATTTATTATTATTATTATTATTATTGACACTCATATTTCACAAGAGAGGATCCAAGTGTGATAGGTCCAACCTGATTCAAGAACTAATTACGGGCCCTCGGGGAGGTGGGTAGCAGTCGTTTTTGATAAATTTAAACTTGGTACCATTCTATCCCTCCCCATTATGCGGCCTATCACATATGCCATGCATGAATACCAAAACAAATAGGAGTATATATAACACATAAAAGAGTTATTAATTGTTTGATGCAATATATAAATACAAAGCCTTTATGTAAATAATGTTAGATTAATATATATATATATATATATATATATCTGTGAAATCTATCTCGTCTGTCCTCAGCATTGCCAGGACAGTCATTATACATACATATATGTGAATAATATAATTCTTTTAACAGTTGCAAAGACCTGGAGAATATTCTCCTTTTTGTTTTTCTTTTTGGGTTCATCCTTTTTATTTTTCATTCACATAAAACTTATCAAATGCTGATGTCAATATTTCTTTTTTCTTTACGAGTTCACCCTTTTATTAATATTAAGAAGATGAAGAAGAAGGAGGAGGAGGGGAAATTTAGTTGGTTAATTTTTAAAAATGAAAAATCAATAGATTTGGCGGCTACTAAACAGCCAAGTAGCCAACATAAATATTGGATATGAAGATTTGATAAGTTTTAATTATTTAACAAATAAAAAGAAAAGTAGAGATTAATTAACTGTAGGAATAAGTTAATGAAGTGGAGTGGGTGGAAGAATTAAAATAAGTGGGGATGAGTTAAAAATTGAATAGTACGTATAGAAAGAAAAGACTGGTCCACCATGACGATTAAGAGTGACTAAGAGAGGAAGATAAGAAATTGGCTGGCTTTGAGGTGTGTGGTGGTACAAAAATATCTTATTCAACCAAATAATAAAGGTGGTGTTTAATTTAACCCCCAAATTAATACTCCATATAAATCTTGGTCCCCTACTAGTACATGTGAGTTTGGACCATGTAAAGCATATGGGGGACATATAGCATTGAGATTTCATTTTAGGGTGGGGACACCAATAAAGTTAACAGCAATGGAATGTGATACATGTACTGATTTTAGTTTGCCACCAAACTCCCTCTCTTGC